TCACAAGCTCATTCCTTGTTTAAAAAATGTTGCTTTGAAGGTCTGGCTCTCAAAATAACTCTCCCAAATAATCAACAGATATTGGTAGTGTGCTGCTATTGACCGCCGAGTGGGAAAGATGTTGAACCTGCATCTGCACTGAGAGAACATTTTGGGGGCCTCCCTAAAGGTGAAATAGTTTTAGTGGGTGATCTAAATTGGAATTGGCTAAACCTGCCGGCCGTGGCCACTAATTTTGCAGATGAATTTAATCTGTTTCAATTAATAAATGTCCCCACAAGACCCAACCTAAAAAATCCGGGACAGTCATCTCTGCTTGACGTCCTATTGACAAATGCCCCTCACAATTTCACACTGACTGGTGTTCTGGGTAATAACCTTAGTAATCACTCCTTCATTTTTGGGGTGAGATCATCAGCCAGACCCAAAGCCCCCCCTAAATTGGTTGAGAAGCACTCTATGAGACACTTCAGCACTCAGGCATTTACTAATGATGTGCTTCACTCGGATATTGACAAGGTCTGTGATATCCCCAACCTGACTACGGCTTGTAAGACCTTCAGGTACAAGTTTCTCCAAATTCTTAACAAACATGCTCTGTTGGTTAGATTTAAAACTAAAGGCAACCGCTCACCATGGTTTGACCCTTTGATTACAAAGCTCATGAAAACTAGGGACAAGGCTTGGGCATATGCTCAGAAAAGTAATTTGGTCAATGACTGGCTAGAATACAGGATTTAAGGAATAGATGCGCCAAAAAAATACGGCATGCAAAAAATGCCTACTATTCCTCCACTCTCCCGGAATCACAAGGAAATGCCAGGATTTTCTGGAAAACAATCAAATGTATCGAAAAGGCATCCAAAACAGAAAATCAGCCCGTTGAGCTTAACCGAAATGGGGAATATTTTTTAGATCCCAAAAAAATAGTTGATAATTTTAACCTTCATTTTTCTGAAGCTGGTAATCTTTTTGATAATGTATTGGGAGTCACCCCTGCTCCTGCAAATTCCTACACCCCTGTCCAAACATTAAACGAATTTAGTTTCCAGCCAATCCACGAAAGTAATGTTCTGAAACAACTATCCTACCTCAAAGGGTCCTCCTCTACCGGAGCAGATAGTATTCCCGTCTTTTCTCTACTAACTGTTGGTCACTTAATATACAAACCTATAGCCCATATTTTCAACCTGTCCATCAAAGAAGCATCAGTTCTTCTAGAATGGAAACATTCCTATGTCCATCCACTTCACAAAGGGGGCCCTAAAGATGATCCAAATAACTACCGACCTATCTCAATTTTGTCCCCGTTGATGAAAATTTTTGAAAAATTATTGACCTACCAAATTAGCAGTTTCCTGTTCACCAACAATCTACTACATCTAAAACAATCTGGGTTCTGAAAAAAATACAGGACCACATCTGTGCTGCATTAGACACTCTGCATCACATTTACAGTAGCCTTGATAATAAGCAGTACTGTGCCTGTCTTTTTCTAGACCTGTCCAAAGCTTTGATACAGTAGACCACAACACTCTGCCTAGTAAACTAAGTTGCCTCGGTTTTTCCGAAAACGCAGTAAAATGGTTACAAAATTACCTCTTTTCTCGCACCCAAACACAGATGGTTGGAGGTCAAACAGTGTTAAGATAACAAAAGGGGTTCCACAGGGTTCCATCCTCGGCCCCCGTTTGTTCTCTCTTTATGTCAATGACTTGGGCACTGACCTGGATCATTCCAGGGTAAATCTTTTTGCAGATGACACGATACTGATTACTGCTGGCCTCTCTCCGGATTACGTGATTGCTAAGCTACAGGGTGATTCCAACAAACTACAACATCAGCTAGTTGATCTTAAACTAGTCCTGAATACCTCCAAAACCAAGGTGCTATGCTTCTCACCAGGACTAAAGCAGGAAGTTATTTTTTTAATTACATTCCTTAAATAATTATAAAATAGAGCAAGTCAAGATCTATAAGTATCTTGGGGTCATCCTGGATTCAAAACTGAATTTTGAAGATCACATTGATTATATTGGTAAAAAGACAAGAATAAAAATTGGTTTTCTGTATCGACACAAGCACTGCTTCCCCCCAATGTTCCGTTTGGAATTGATAAAAGCTACCATACTGCCTCTACTTGACTACTGTGACATCGTGTATAAATCATCCCCAAGTACTGTACTGAAGAAGCTTGATTCCATCTATCACTCGGCCTTAAGATTTACATTCAACTGCCCATATAGGACTCACCACTGTGATCTCTACATTGGGTCAAACTTAACATCTCTTAATGTTCGACGGCTTGTGCACCAGATCTTATTTATTCACGATGTACTTACAAAAAAATCCGCAGACTACCTGCTGGATCTCCTCTCTGTTTCAAAGAATAAATTTGACCTCAGGTCTTCGCTCATTTACCAGCTTCACATTCCCTATTGCCGTACAAAAACTGGAGGAAGGGCCTTTGCTATTGATGCCCCCAGGGTCTGGAATGCTATTGCCAATAAACTGCAACTTGAATAGCTACCAATGAGATCTTCTCTCAAAACTGATCTAGGAGTTGTACACCCCTAGCTGCCACTGCTATTCATTCTTTGGCGTAAAATAAAATGTTTCGCTCCGGATGGCACTGCAAAGTATTATCTGTATTTTGATTTAGCGTGCTGATCTTAAAGGTGCATTGAAAAATTTGATACTCCGACTGATGCTTCTGTTGTTGTGGAGTAACTCGTGCAGCCAGCTATGGCTCTAGGATTTGGTGTTACATGTTATTTATGCTTTCTTGTTCATGTTTTTGTTTTTTGTTTGTTGTGGTTGCACCCGATTCAAGAGCTGAATGGCTCACAGGGCTATACCAAATAAATGGAACTATGAACTACGTAGTTTAATGTAAAAATTCGGTCACAGTCCCTGTGATCACTGTTACGTTGCAATTATGGCTTTATTTTTTGGTGATTTAGAAAAGTTTTTTGGTTTGGACATATTTGTTTTGTTGTAGTACGGAGTTAGACTGATGGCCTTAATCTACGTTTTCTTGTGGTTGTTGTTTGACTTGCATCCAACTGGGATTTTTTGCACACAGCGTTGGTGTACGGTGCTTTTTCAGGAATATTTTGCTGTTTTTTCATGGATTTTCTGTTTGCACAGTCACAGTCACTTTAAGATGTTTTTCTTGTTCGTGTTTTTGTTTTTTTGTTTGTTGTGGTTGCACCCGAATCAAGAGCCGAATGGCTCACAGGGCTATACCAAAATAAATAAACTGAAAAAACTGAAAAAACACTGCATTGCCTGGTGCAAGCACCCACCTCTTACAAAACAAAGGCTCCAAAAATGCTATCTTGTCATCTGGGAGTTGGTCAACATCTCATACAATGGAGTATTATGATAAGCTGGTTTACACATCTTCTATCAGTGCTGACCCGAGTGATGACTGAGTGCAGGCATGTACATACAAATGAGGTGACTGAGGCAGCTTGTTGAAAAAAAGGATTGCTATCAGAAGGCAAACTTTCTAAACCATCTAGTAGTTAACAAATAATAATATGTAGCCATTTGGCAAGCTACTCCTGGATGAAGGCCTCACCACTCCACGTTGGGAGTGGGAGTTGTTTGACCATACTTCACCATTCTGGTCAAAGATTGCACCACTGCTTCACCGCATAATCACCTGTTGTACTCAAAATGTCTTCACCTTCCCTCTCAGTAGAAGTCTACCACCACCAAATCTAAAAACAGTTAACAGCCTTATTAAGCTATTTCACGAGAAATAATAATGATTTCATGACAGGAATCAATAAATAATCAGCACTGCTGATATCTCGGATTGAAATCTCGGGTTAGGGCCACCTGTGATTAAAAGTGGTCTTCACGAGTTGGGAGTTGTTTCAACCCGGGTCATTTGGACAACAAACACACCAAGAAACACCCCAAAATATAAACGTTGTTATTTATAGATGCGGTTTAAAGTTTATATATGCTAAAAAGGGCCGAGTTACTTTATGCAAAGTGCTGTCATGCCTTGTGTGAATGGCATTGCATAAAATCGAGTTTTTGTAAGTTTAGTTTTTCACTGAATTTTACTCATGACTGATACGCAATGAGCACTCTTTTGAAACCACAGCATGAGTGAGGGTTCTAGTAGCAGTATGAAATCATCTTCCGGGGTCATTCTTTAACACAAGGCTACAAACTGCTCACCATGGGAGTTCCAAATGAAAATGCCGTCATCTCCTGACAATTCTACCTTGAAAAATCGACCTTTCAATGGGTTATAACCATGTTATAAAGGTCACCTGTGTATCGATCTGCATGAAACCAATAAAACAAGACCTTTTTCCCTCTGCCAATGAAATCCTGCTTCTCTCTATAAAATAAAGATGCCCGCTATTTCTTTCTGCACAGCGTCTTGAGATGTGGTCGCCTTTAGACAGCACGTACACGTATGTACACGTGCAGCTTCAATTGTCAATCCACTGCTGGACAAAGGCCTTCCCAGGCCACGCGGCTCGTGGGGGTTATTTGTTCACAATGCTGGTCAGTGTGCGTTGGTGAAGGCGGACAGCGTTGACGTAGGAGAATAGAGAGCACAGTGCAGTGCAACAACTGCTTTTTCAGCACTGCCCTCTGTTGCCCACCACATAGCCCCAGAGATGACGATCAAAAAGAAAACAAAAAACAAGTGCATCTTATGAAAGCCGGCACGGCGTGCCAGAGGGTGGTGTGGTTCTCGCACCACGCCCGGCCACCCTTGTCTCCCCAGTGCCGATGTTGACACACCGTGCCAAGAACTCATTTAAGACCAAGTCGATTACAAAGGCTACAGCCCCCACTAACTCATTGTGGGCTTTGACAGGTGCTGACATCAGGGGTGCGGACGTTGCTTACCGACCAGCAAGGGTGAGTGCATTCTCATGAATAAATGGCAAACAACATTAGAAGGAGACAAAAAAATCAACCCCAAGGGCGATCGCGGAGCGACGAGCAAGGGTGGTACGCACGGGTAAGCGGCGAGCGTGGCGAGCTTGATGAAGATGTCTCTGGCGGGGCTGTTGCCCGTGCTGCACGTGAAGGACAGCGGCGGCGGCAGCCGGTGCTTGCGGCAGAACTCGGCGGGGCTCTGCAGGAAGGAGGCGCCCGAGAGCGAGTCGCGCAGGTCCGCCTTGTTGGCCAACACCAGGCACGGCACGCGTCGCTCCGCAAAGTGCTGCTGCTCCGGCGCGCGGGCACAGTTGGGAGACGGCGGCGGAAACACGAGCGTCGTTAAGTGGAGGCAGGCCAGGCGGCGCCACCCGAGACCCCGGGTCTCAGGCGAATGGCCGCTTTGCACAGCATGCACAGCAAACTCAAAAACGTTCATTTCGCAGGAACAGGCCAAATACCCCTTATTGCCGGACCCTCCTCTGAGGGGGTCTTTAGATTATGAAGCTTTCCTGGTTAAGTTAATGAGATTTCAAAATACACGTGAACAAGTAAAATTACTCCAATAACAAAAAAACAACACAGTATTGTTTTCTAACTTCTGGTATTCTGTAAAAAAAATAAACATTTTATTATCATATATGCTATATTTACAGATAGGTAACAATGCACTAAGAGATTTATTTTACAAGGCTAATGTGGGACAAAAATACAGCAACAGCCTTTGCTGCAGTCTGTAAAGAATTTCACCCATAAATTTGAAAGTGATAAACAGCGTTCCAAATTGTAAAAAAAATTGAAACATACAGGACCCGAACGTGCGAGTTAACTCACAGATCTGAAACAAAGGTCGACATTCGGCAAACCAAACGACAAAGCCGCAAAGGGACGCACATGGACACAGCCGCAGCTTTCAATGCACCCCTCTGGCTCTCAGCTGTTACTTTTAAAAAGCATTCGTTGTTTGAAAATAAGCAACTAAGCATGACACATGCTCAAAAGCCTTCCTAAGTCCCAGGTGACACGTGCATGGATACTTCAAATTGTTTCATGTGGAAACAAATATGGGGAGTAGGCAATATTTATTTCGTTAGCATTCTCCAAAATGCACCCCAATGATTAGTTTGTGTTGCATTGTACAGCTTTCCATCAAACTAGGACCAATTTCTTAGATGAAGGGTCCTTTGCTATAAACAATGGGTATAAGTTTTAAACAAGACAAAGAGGACCACAATGCATTTCGACAGGAAGTAGTTTTTTTTTGCATATACACAACAGCACAGTGCTCTTCACATATTCCAGCCTGCACTCATAATTTTCATACAATGGGTTTTATCGTCATTCACACGTAAGAAACATAAGGCAGTTCATCAGTATTGGTTCAAGCAGGCCTAACTCTGCTCATGACACGGTGATAGAGAAACCAGTCCAGTATTTGCTTCTATTGAACCAATGCTGCTGAAAAGATGCACTCCCAGAAGGCAGTGCGGCCAATAAGTTGTGCAATCTACTTATTTTATGCTCAAATACAAATGAGCTGTTGCTTGCTGTGCATGGATCTAGGATTGGTCTGTCAATTAACATAAATAAAAGGCAATCGTGACTTGGGTTAACAATGCCCCTTCTCAACAAAGCTCCAATTATTTTCTTTAAAAAAATATTTCAATGAGTTCACGTCTCTAAACAAGTTAGGCTGACCACACATTGCATTGTCTGAGACCGAAGGTGACTCATTCATTGTTTAACACAATGTCGGAGGTTACACGACACATGTAAGCAGCGGGGATGAAGAGATGACAATGAAGTTCTGGAGGAGATGCACAAGGGCGTACAGTGTGAGCTGTGCCAGATACTCCAGTTTTGTCCCCACCCACACCCCCCAAACTCTCGAGTGTGGGGACATTACCACCCAACATCGTGGCAGGGGTTCTTGTTAATTCACCACCTTTGACTTATTAATGAGCCTTACACAAATACGTGGATCATACGAAGCAATTTTACGACACAAGTCAAGTCCAAACAAGCTATATTATAGCCCCAGCTATAATTTAACAAAGGCACAGTGAGAGATGTCACTGACAAACACACCACAACAGGGAGGTCCTTTCTATCAACATTCCCCACGCTGTTTTGCCACTGCTGGACAACCAACGTCATATCAGCAATAAGTCAATAATAGTGCCAGGCATGCTGGTTGGCTCAAGGGCAAGGGAACACGCACACATGCACAAATACGTACACACACATACGTACAGACACACACAAACACAGCCTCATCTACATGTGCCCTGAAGGACACCTCATTGTAATTAGGGCTTGGCAGCGTGCAAGCCAAGCATTTCCAAACAGCTAAGCACATATATAATTGGCAAGTGTCAGGATGACATGAAGGCCGTGGCTATGTTCTATCTGTGCCGAGACGAATCTAAGGGTCGAGTTTATGTTGAAGTTTCTGTTATGGCCAATTCTCCAACAGGGTCAACTGAACGGCAATCCGAGTCATTGCCATGCGTGGGCTTTTTGCGTCATTCATCCCCTACGAGCAATTGCTGCCAAGGCGTTATTGAAGGGATACGAGCTTGAGACCTCCAAAACACTGGGTGGCTGTATGGCGTCGAGAATATTTAGAGGAGAAAAAACTGGACACGCTGAAGGAAGAATGCCTTAACCATGAGAACTGGAAAAAACATCTGCCAGAGGCATCACTATAAAGGTCAATCAAGACATCCAACACAAAGAACAAACTCTCCGCAATTTGTTTGCACCCAGTTTTGTTCGGCAAAGATGTCCGACATTTCACTTGACAAGCTGGGAGCTTGTTCAGGAAAGGCATTCCCGGTTCGTACAACATGGCACAACCGCAAAAACTGGCAACGGGAGTGAAGCGAATGAGCACCCCACCTTGAAGACGGTCGCGCAGTACTCGAAGGACTTGGGGTTGTGTGCGTCGTACAGGAGGCAGGCCACATCACACGCCGTGTCGGCCGAGGTCAGGAGATCGGACTCCGTATCGATCTCATGTAGCTTCACGGCAATATTTTCAGGATTTTATTGCATCCGGGGGGGGGGGGGGGGGGGGGGGGGGGGGGGGGGGGGGGGGGGGTGGGGGGGGGGGGTGAGAGGGGGTAGAGGGGTTTGGAGTGAGTGACGGGGGAATCATAGGGTAGAGGTGAATGGGGCAGTGAAGGCCATTCGTTTGGATTGTGGGATCGCATGACAAGTGTGTGCGAGTATGCGGTTGTTTGTGTGCGCGGGGGGCGGAGAAGGAAAGAAGATTAAAGTCGTTACATTTCTATAAATATACTCGCGAGTTCTTTTTGTAAAACGCGAGCATGCTGCAGAGGACAAGGATTTCCAATCACGTACACATTACATGTGTATTACATTCAACAAAGAGTCACTGAGTAGTTGGCAGATCTAAATTTAGCTATTCATGCATTTTCTCCACGGGGGGGGGGGGGGGTCAAAAAAACACATTGAGCCATGACGGGGAAGTAAAGTCCATAAACACGATAGTATTTTTCCACACGTACACTTTGCAACCAAACGTGTTAAAATAAAAACAAACGTAGTTGTTGAAAATCCTGGCTAATCTCTCGCGCTAATCTAATCTACCGTGTGCGCGTTCCTCGTAGAGCAATGCAAAGCAATGCCCTTGAGTTGTTCTCAGCGCCTAGTGACGGATATGTTCACTAAATCCATCAAACGATAGAGAACTCGAGCGAGGCGATGCACTGGTGACATTTCATCACCACGGCGCAGCAAACACATTTTAATTCCCTTTTAGACCCCCCCCCCCCCATATGCTGGCTCAAAATAAAAATAAGTATGAGCAGAACTGTGTGACGTAGGCAACTGTGCTCCCTGGATAAAACTAAGCTTTTTATAAATTCAGCTGGAACGATTTTATACCGATTACTCACAGAAGCAAGAGCACAGCCTGATGGAATGACGCTTGCTAAACGCTCGATGATGACATATAGTTTACGTTTCGGGCCAGTTTCGTCCCGACTTGCCCGGGGAGTTACAAAACCGTCACACCACAGAGGGCTGTCACCGCCACTGCAAACAATAGCAGCAGTTAGATTGTCGGCCAAGTCCTGCCTTTAATCAGGACTTGAAATAATCGCCTGGGTTCGAATGACACATATGTTTGACAACTGCCAGCCAAGTGAGGCCCTAAACTTCGTAACAGCTGTTTGTCTATTGGTAGAGATTTAAATGCTACTGCACGAGCTGCCCACTACTAAGCATTTACAGGAATCGCATTTGATTGGTTTACGTGTTTGATCTCTCCAGCTAGTTTCTCTCCTGCTCATTTCAAGAACAAGATGGCATCGTGGCCAAAGCCGTTGTTGATGCCACCACACCTCGCCAACGCTCTCTACCCTCTAGCCAGATCCCGCAGCTGCTGCACCGCAGACACGGAACCTCCCCGCCGAATTGCCCTCACAGCAGCCTACAATCTGCGCTTAGGTCTTCCCCTTGGCCGCCGGACACGTGGAGACCACTCCAATGCTGGTCTCGGAAACAGGGCCCCTTCCATCCTGCTCTATGCACATGATGCACTCATGCGGCACCGGTGACCTGGTGCAAAACACTGGCGCCAGCATATGGCGCCAGCATTTGAGAGTTATGAGCACGAGATGTCGAATACCATAACCTTATCTAAAGGCATGTTATTACACGTGTAACACCTCCCTACACACGTAAAATGCAAAAAAACGTGAAGTGAGGCAAGATGAAGTATGTATTTTAGACAGATATATTTAGAATTCCGATAGGTGTTGTCTATTGTGTGAGCTCAGCAGTGCATAACTTAAAATAGTACACATCCAGTTAATCAACTTATTCCAGTAAAAACAAAGTCGCAATGTCATGTATTAAAAGTAAAGAGACAGATACAACTGTGTCTTATGTAAAGACACTCTTGTCAAAATGTTTTCATCGTGTTATCTACAAGAGCACATTAATTATATTAATCACAATTAAAGTGTAATGTACAGCCCTTCATCAATCCACTGCTGGATGAAGGCCTCTCTGCAGCCTTTCGGTTATGCGGGGGTTGTTTGAACATACTTCACCACGCTGGTTGGTGCGGGTCAAAATAAAGTGAAAAGAACCGGCTCAGCTATTACTCGCCACCGATGTTGACCGTGGGCAAGAATCCAACTTAGGTTGCCGGAATCACAGCACAGCTTCAGTACCACCGCACCATCCCATTGTTTTAAAGTATTTCTTAAATACATTTTTTTGTTAAATTTCCCCACGTATAAGCATTCACTATCTATTTCTCCCGAAAGCCCAGCGATCAAAACTACAATGAAAATTTCGATTTAAAGCTTTCGTGACTGCGAGGATTCATCTTCTACAATGAAAATGCTGCTCATTAAAGTGTGCATTTTTTTCAAATGTGGCAAATTTAGATTAAAGACCATCAGTCATCCAACCGATGACTGATGGTCTTTAACATCCGCTCTTTTTCAACAGATGGCACGCTTTGCTAAAGCCCAGCAGAAATGACTCAGCTACTGCTGAAGCTACTCCTGTTGGGCCGAGGCCAAGCAAGCCAGTATGAACTGGCTCAGCGATGAGTGCAAGATCTACCCCTTTTTCCGGCTTTGCTACATCATTTATCTCTCTCTCCTAGTGGCACCGCGCCCACCCATTACACACAAATCTCCCTCTCCGTCTAAAGCCAGACAAGCCGGTTAGACGAGTAAGCCATCAGATGTGTGCGACCTGACGTTTTTTTTTTCATAATTTAAATGCGTCCAGCCAGGCACGTTGTCAGTGCGGTAATGGCATCAGTGGTCATAATGTCCCAACAGTCAATGTTTTTTCCAAAAACGTTTTCCTCGGTTTATACAGAAACGGACACGTCGATCTGCAGTGAATGGGAATCGATAGTGGAGTGCTCAATACACACAACGATCATTGACTCTGGTCTTGGGGAACCTTACAGTGCGAGGCACGTTCAAACGAGGCTGCTAGCGCCACGTGGCATTTTTGTATCCATTCATCACCATCATAGGCCACGATTAATCCAACGAGCGAAGAAGGCCTCCTCAGGCCATCTCTCACAATCCAGCGATGTAACAATCTCCCTGGCACCTGCAAATGAGCGCGTTTTACCTCTCCATAACCTCAGTGGACGTCCTCTCGGATGCGTTCCATTCAAGATTAATGATAGATTGGCTGCCCATCTCTTGTTATTCTGAACCATTGGCCAAAATCCTATGCCAACTAATGTTTTTACAGTTAGAATGTCTTTAATGTACTGATGTTCTCTAAGCCACATGCCCCTCTCATCTACCTGCATCCAGTCCCGAAGAACCAACCATCAACATCTTTGCATTTTATCTCCCAGAATCACATTTTTTGTATTTTGGTCTCGTCGATAATTGAATCCCAGGTTACCAGCTGTTCCAAATGGGAGTGAATGCCGAGGACATGAGGCATGACGTGGCTCTAGGTGCTGTGATCCACACAAGCTTGACTGATGCATGACTCCAGCTTCCTCTCTGAAGATCCTGCAGCACGCGCATCACGTGCCGTTGGCACACTATCACCTTCGTCATTACTCAAAGCATCCGGTGATGATTAAGCAGGTGCACACACAGGTCACCAGTGTAATCTCGACGCCCGACGCAGCTCACGTGAATCACCCCGGAAAGGTGTTTGGGAAGGAGGGACGGGAGTGGAAGAGGGAGTGGAACAGTGAGAGACTGCGGTGGGAAGCGAAGACACTTTCACCCGGGCGAGAACAGCTATGACTCACCAGCAGGTACTTTTCTTGTCCGTACACTTGCACTGAGTTTATGGCATAGAAAGAACAGTGATCGCTTCTCAGTTGTTTCTGCTTCTGCACGATAAACACACGCAGAAAGAAAAACATGGAGAAGAAAGTTAATTCATGCATCGTGATCAAAACCAGCGCAAAGTTCCCTGTCGTTGAACTGAACACCGCAGTTGCAGGACGCGCTCAGGAATTTGTGTCGTAAAATAAAAAAAAGCCTCGCTGAAAAAAGTACACGTCAAAATCATCGGGATTGTACCCGATCTCATCAGATCTCGGAAGATGAGCAGCGATGGAGCCTGGTTAGTCCCTGGACGGGTGGCCGCAACGCACAGCAGGTTATTGTAGGCTGCGGGACTACGTTCTTGTGCTTTATTGACATGCTCCCACATCATTGCTCATCTTCACCAATCTGCACGGACCCGTGTGGTTTTGCTCAAAATGTCCCAAACAAAACGCATTTGGCAGTGGGAAAATGGCTTGTACTCGTACAATGTAAGAAAACATTGGCATACTGGCTTCACATTGGATGCACTACTCTGTAACATAAAGCTCTATAAGATAGCTAAATGGTGCTCCGCATATATGTGGTGACGGGATAATGCTGACTTCATATGCGTTAATGAAACTACTGTACACACACAGGTGTATTACCTCATCGCGTCTTTGAATGGATTAGAAAAGTCTACCAAGCTTCAACTGCTTTACAAATGCAAACCATATATATGCACACACACACACAGACCATTAGATCATTCCCCAGCCAATGTTTTGCATGAGGTCAGATAACACCCATGCAACATTTCAGTGCATATGCATTTGTACATAGCAATTTTAGATAATAGCACAGCTTCTCAATTAGGCCATTATACCCAAAGCATGATGCTCATAAGTGATACAAATAAAAAAAGATTTTATGACGCAGAAAAACACCCCACGCTTTGGACTTTCGACTTGGTGGTGAGATGTTAACTGCCTCACCCGGTATACAGGAGGTTGTGGGTTCGATCCCGTCCCTGACATCTGTACTTTTGGAGTTTGCATGTTCTCCCTGTGGATTTTCTCTGGGTCCTCTGGTTTTTACCTCCACATTTAGAAACATGTGTTTAGAGCATTTGGCTACTATAAATTTTCACAAAATAAGCTATAATTTGTGGCCAGGTTGCTTCTATAAAAGAGCTACATAGCTCAGTGGGCCTTTAGAACAAATTAGTTTACAACTAACTTGTTCGGTAGCTCACTCTATAATAGTGGTGGCTAGAGAGGCGCTGTGCATTACGTAAGCTGGCATCACTCGCCACATTGCGCGCGTGTCCCCCGGCGCGCTGGCAAGTGAGCAGAGGGCGGGACGAAAGCCGGATGCCCTGGGCATGTGAGCTCTATTTTGTTTGCGTCATCGTCGCCGGCTGCATTAGTTCAGCAACCCCCGCCCCAGTGCTCACAAGTCACAAACAACACTCAACATAACACAAGCAAGTACTGCAAAGAGACACTGCAAACAACATGCAAAATCCTAAAAAGACCAGATAATTGCAGAAGGCAAATGAAAAAAACGGGATTATCCATTTACCGTACACATCTTCTGTATCTTTGCAAGCGATCCAAGTAGTGACTGATAAGGCCAACTGCTAGTGCCTGATGGTTGCCACCAACTAAACAAATATTAACGCACCGTGCGATTTGAATGTTCGATCACATATACCGAGTAGTTCGATCGCGAGTGAAATTTAACAGGATTCGATTACAGATTCCATGACTTTAGGAATCAATAATCGATTCCAACATCGATAAATAATACATTACAAAAAAACAATGAACACCCCTAACCAGTACACATGAGCAGAGGGTTTCTGGGTCATTTCAACGTGTCTCTCCATTTGGGAGACACAAACAAGGGTTTTTACGAGCAAGCTATTTTGACAGTGCCGAGGAACACAACCGAACAATCCAAAACACAGGACTTGTAGCGCACCCTGCTGTGAGAGGCAACAACTTACACAGTATCCTAAAAAAAACTGCACCCTATATATCATAGGGTGCGGTCGTGTCGCTACAGTTCTCTGCGGCGAGTACAATGTCTTTAATAACGGTGCTATGCCTCTCTAAATAAAATTAAGGCTGAGCTGCTTGCGCGTTCCGAGATTCAGCTGTGAACGGGACCCCGCCCTTCAACTTGCAGACATCTCGGAACGGGTTCATTGGCTGAAAACATCTTAAAATCAAAATGCAATGCAGGACTCTCCTAAAAAAAGAAGTCCTACGAGTCAGAGATGGGAAGTAGCGTTACCATGTCATACGGAGGGCTACTTGCACCTACGATTAGCACGGTTGGCTACGTACGCTGCGAAAAAGGTTCAACATACATACATATTATTAATTGTCCATGAGCTACTCATCGGATCAAGAACAACAACGGCAGAGGCAAGGGACACCCTCGAACGATGGACGGGTGAACCCTGGGACTCACGGCCATGTTTCTGCCCAGGGAGGCCTGAAGGAAAGCGCTCTTTCCTGATCCGCGGGCGCCAATGACGTGGCACAGAAACACGTTGCGCTGAGTCTGCCTCTTCTGCAGGTCAATCTTCTTATCCCTCATCACTGTAAAATAGGTTAACACACAAATTCAAGGCCTTTAAAAAAATAGGTTAACACACATGGTAAAAACATGTAACTTAATTTTTTGTCTCAGCTAATTACTTTTTTCTCCAAAGTGCTTCTGAATGGCTACTCCTAGATGGGATCCACTTATGGTGTGCGTTATACCATTCCAAAGACATTTATGGACATATGAAAGGGCTGTAATAAATCCATCACAGGATGAGCGCCTACCTATGCCATGCCAGTTATTTGAACATGCTGGGTCAATGCAGGTTGAAGGCAGGAGACAGGAAAACCACATCAGAAGAAGGGTGATGAACATGGAAGCACAAGGAAGAGTAGAGGCCAAGATGCAGGCCGAGGAAAATGTAGCTTAAAGTGGTGATCCAGGATATCAAAGACTGTGGAGTGGATGTGGCAATGGCCCAGGACAGGAATAAGTGGACCAGGCATGCAAACCCCACGAGTGGTGAGAAATTTCATGAAGAAAAAAATCAACATAAGAGCATAGTATCGTACAACATAACCTATTGTCAATGAATGTATTTATGAAGCTAGAAATCTACAATGATGATCCTGATAATCAGAATCTACGGCACCAAACCAACTCAAAGCGGAGCAGCTCACCCACAATGGCAGATGTCTGCGTCTCCTGCTCAGTGAGCAATGGGTAGCCCAGGTACCCCAGGTACTCCAGGCAGTGACGGACATCCAGGTAGGCAGTCAGCCTGCCACAGGGAGACACACAGCCTTGAGTTGCATCATATGACAAAACCACCAGAAGCATAACATTTGCTAAGTCGGAGATATATATTGGAGGAACACAAGTAAAAAAACATGACAGAGTACGTGCACATTGGACGTTTATTGAAAGTAGACCGGGATTAATGTTATTAAATAAAAGCTGGACGAAAGCAGGTTGGAGCCTTTTTGGAAAGCTGACTATGATACATCAACATAACTAAGCGTCTAAATGTTTTTAATCAGTGCGTAGTACCAATGTAATGATTCAGGAATGTGTAACAACCTAAATGAACGTGATGATGTGGCAATAAGGTGGACAAGTGATTTCAACATCAACCTGCGAGAGGAAATTAAAGAAAAACATAACCCTGAAATGTGACGATACACAAATATTGGACACAACTAAGACACATTAACGTTAGCCCTCGGGAGTGTCCAGATTTCCTCGCGCGTCCAACGGTGCCACCTGCAGGATGAGCCATGCTGCTTCAATGCCAGGTGAGTCGGCGTCGCGAGTTCACACACACGTGCACACACTCACGTCCACTGCGCCATGTATCCGTGCTGGGTGATCCAGCCCTTGTCGTTGGTGGGGACCGTGCTGTTGACGTCAGGACCCCAAGGCATGTACGGGAAGACGCCAAACAAATCCTTCAGTTCTTCGGGGCTCAGCGCGCCGTCGCCATCCTGGCCGCAAACCGCGTCGTCCATGTAAAATATGCGATAGTTAGGCACGTGACAACGTGTCTCGCCAAATAAAATCGATTTCCGCAGGCTGTGCTGTGCCTTACCAGGTCGTGCTTCTCAAAGATGCTCTGCAGGAAGAGGTAGGCGCTGTGGTTCAGCTCTGTCGTGCAGTCGTGGGGCACTTTAAGCCTATCATGGGGAGAGAGACTCACTTGACTCTGCTTATAAAACAATTTGAGACTGCTGAGGTTCTCGGAGCCAAGGGCTTAGAGCCACGAGCAAGCAATTCGTAAATGTCTAAGAATATCAGTTCACATTATTCAATCTTGTGTGACGGTCACAGCACAGAAAACATGTATTTTAATGCAGGGGGTAGGACTAATGCAGCAGCATGTTGGGACTCTGTACCTTACTAAGCACCAAATAGGACTCAAATAAATTTGCTGGGCCAAACATGGACAATAACGGCAAAAAATAATGAGTTTCGACCAAGCATTAAGATGCCCATGCAGTGATAGAATTGACTAAATGCACTGTCATAATTTTAAAAACAATCTTTCCAAGTAAAACACAATCCCTTCTAGTACCTGATCAGTGCAGCTAAGATGCTCGCAGTGATAGATAAATATCGTTTGTGGGCCGTTTCGAAGTGGTAAGCCTCAGTGGCCATAGGCTTTATGAAATTAAGTTACGATCTCAGCCTGTGTACCGTAGGTTCTCCACCCCTCATATGTGTTTGCGCTTCTGTAGAGTGAGCAACATGGTCATGGAGGTCTCATTGGAGGCCCCTGCGGAACCAGTGACCACACCATATGCCTTGTGTGCCGTGCTGGCCTTAATAGCACTTTCCCTGACATTCTGTGTGGGCCGTAGGTTACCCACCCATGCACCAATTAAATTTTAAACTCACGTGAAAGCTTAGCCTTGCATTCAAACGAGATCGAGTTATGTTTGTGAAGGTTTTCCGCTGTGGGGCAGGCTACCTTGTGGCTTTGAATTTGCGACAGCAAGCCCAGGGGGCTGTGGAAAAACGAAAACTCACAGTGGGTGCAAGTAGTCGTCCGTGAGCTCAAGGTCGTCATCGTAGCCAAACCGTCGCAAAACCGTCCACGTGGTCTCGTGCCGCCCACGCTGGATGAACAGCGTGTGCAAAAACAGGAACCCTGTTGTCGGCAAATTCAAGGGTTAATGTTCACAATGTATGAAATTATAACAACATAATAATGACGATTCTGAAGTGCTCCAACATGGCAAGCCATTATAAGGCTGCTGTAATAAGCATTAACGCGGTCCAACCAATGGTGCAAACAAGAAGATTGGAAAAAAGCATGCGTATGCCAGATTATGTAACGCTCTCCAATGTGTGCTGACTTTGTAACTACTTGATTAACAGTATCGCACATTTTCTGAGTCCCTTTCGCTCTGCTTATAATACAAATAGTTAAGGCAAACCTGACATAAATTCAGTAACTTTATCCTTAAGTTTGCTTCATATTGGTTCAACATTACAAGAGTTATTATACCCCCCCCCCCACCACCCTAAGTAAGGAGAAACGAGCAAACAATGTCACTTTTAACTGAATTTGGAAAGCGTTAAGGATGATGGCATGGTAAAAGGCATCTCACCCATGAGTGTCAGACCGTTCTCTGCCACCCCGTCCGTCGTGTTTTTGCGCACCACGTTCTTGACGTCCTCCAGGGCCTGAGGCGCCAGCGGCGTGTTGAAGCATGTCCTCTGAGTGGGTCGGTTTCCAAATGAATAAACAAAAAAAATATTAGGAGAAACTTAGTTCTACATCTAAATCAGTTCAAGCCTTCCAAAAATCACATATCTTCTGTGTGGCCATCCCCATTCCGAATCACTCTCCCCACTCCCTGTGAAAACAGACGCTGCTCTGTGCAGCGTCGAGGCCCTTATGCAGCATCATCTTTTCCATTCTCTCTTCCAGTTCCTTTTTACTTTTCCATGCCTTATATTCTTGACTCTACCCCCCTTCCCATCGTGTCCCAGGGGTACAAAGTTGCAAATACGAGTCCAATCACAGATTATATTTGTAAGGCACGTGTCACGGCACCTGATGACATTATAAACTGAAGATATTATAAAATAAAATACATTCCATACATTTAAGATTATCGACACCATTTTGTCAATTCAATGCTAGATGAAGGCTTCCATAAGCCGTTTTGGTCATGAGGATTGCTGATCATACTTCACCACGCTAACATTTCATGAATTCATATTTATTCTTACGCTGACGGTATACACATCAACAAGAATGTATAATAATTAACTACATTCATAATTTATGCCAATTCCTTGATAAGTATATGCTGCTACATTGAGGCCAATGCAGCGCATGACCGCACAAACAGGACAATAAATGATTCACAACGCAAATACAAATGTAATTGAATCAAGACTACAAATCTCAAAAACTCATTGAATTTTTGGACAGACAAGGATAGATCATGACATTCGTATACTACTGTGAATGATTCAATGTTGATCATGGGTCAAATTAATTTACTTAACGTGAAAACTGACAATGATAATTTGACCCTCAAGCCTATACTGCCACTTGCCTCTCAGTGCGTGAATTGCACGACAGGCCACCAAACTTGCACACATCGGCTTCCTATTAGTATTCGCACATTCAATCGACGAGCACCTGGAAAAAGTTGAGTTCGGTGTCATTCAGGACTCCATCGTTGTCCTGGTCCGAGATTCTGAAAATTCGTGTCAGGGCCTTGATGCAAGCTGGCTTCAGCTGTGGATGGAAGCGATGCATAAAAAATTCAGACGAGATTTTGTCAATAACTCTACTACAATGTCATCAACTGCCACATGTATATACAGTAAAACCTTGGATTGCGAGTAACTTGGTCTGCGAGTGTTTTGCAAGACGAGCAATTTTTTTAAATAAATATTTATTTGATAAATGAGCGAGGTCTTGCAATACGAGTAGTACGTATACTCTTTGTCTGCCGAGTGTCACGTGATCACAACTGATATACGAGTGCTTTGGATTACAAACACGTTTCCGGAACGAATTATGCTCGCAATCCAAGGTTTTACTGTATATATATTACTGCACTGCCATCTACTGCTTATAATATAGCCCTGCAGCCCAAAGCAAACTTCAATCTGCTACTGAGCTTCCTGGACTTGATGAAAGGCACATTTTGGGCGACTTGGACATAGGTATATCTCAAGATAAAAATTATAAAACAAGGTTTTATACAAGTAGAACATTGACTTCTACCATAGACTACATTAAGACTTATTTTTCTGCATGTTATTCATCGTTAAAATACACATTTTACAATAAAACAGGACTCGTATTTAAGGCACGGGCTAAAAAAGGTCACGCATTCCACTACGAAAAGCACTACCTGTTAAAAAATTCTGGCACAAAAACACAATTAGCGTTGCTGTCAAGTGATATAAATCACAACTGTGCTAAAGAGAGAAAACTATTTCAGTGTGAGACAACTTTCAGTGTAGAGCTGTAAAAATGTATCACAGACTTCTTTTTTGTACCAAAATAGATAAGTAGACAATGTCTCTTTTTGCGGTCGAATACTCGGGCTCATTTAATGACAGCCGCTTCTACAAGCCCCGGCCCAGCGTGATACGTCTGATGAAGCTGATAAAATAATAAAAAAACGCTGTCCATCGGCACACTTGAAAACATAGGTTAGACTCTTTCCCCCCTACCCCACTATTTTTTGTCTTTTACAATTAGTCCAGCAATGGAACCAATAAAAGTCAGTGTTTGATTACTTAAATAATCGGACGGCTTAGCTGAAGATACCCTGTGCGGTTCCGAAGCCAAAGAGAGGAATTGAGAACTGTCAGACCTCCTTGTCCTCGGTGCAGTAGAGTGGGGCGGTGGGATGCAGTACGGCTTTCTGGGCATAATAGAAGACCTCCGAGATGTTCTTCAGGGTCTTGGCTGAGCACTGAGGAAGCAACGACAACCCGCCTGGTTCAACATCCGTTCAACCTCATTGGTCATTTAGCCAAAAACTGCCTACTCACCTTATCGCATCTTATTTTTATATAGAGCGTCTTAGCTCAAGGAGCTTTACATAGTTGAAAAACTGTAACAACAATACGGTGATTTAGGTAGCGCGATAAAAGAAGTTGCATCTGAAAAGAGACTTCATGAAAATGAACAAAAACTACATGAAGGTAACAAGATAGTGGTGGGGAGAATCAGGGCAGACAACATAGGAAAGATGAGAGAGCAACACCGCAGCACATGCCAGAAGAAAGCGACTGGGGCCCAACAACAATGGGTCCTGGCAACAGCAATGGGCACTAGTCCCCAGGAACCCCTCCCCCAGGGGCCCGAAACCCAATAAGCCCCAGTCCCAGGGCAATGCCCTCTACACAATGTGTGATGTTCGCAATATTATTGTAATGTCTCTAAAAGTGCTCCGACAGAGCAACTGACTTAATTTTTAGTTTTTACTCACATTAACAAAGCTGAAAATTTATATTAAAACAAAACACATCTATATATCTAAAAAGAAAGTATTTATTTAAACAAACACGTGCATTTGTGTGGGTGCAAACACATGTGGTTACATGGATGCAGGGGTCCTAATCTAAGTGTAATTGTTTGAGAAAATTGTGATAGGCAAAGCACTTTGCTCGTAAGGAGTATACGGCAGCCAAAGGAGAGAATGCATAGAGAGAAAATCAACAGTGGAAATGGAGAGATTAAATAAATCGGAGGTGGTGGACCAGTTGCTACATTGAGGGACTATGAGATATAAGCTCATCTTGAGGAGGCTTTCATCCAGAAGTTGATTGCTAATGGCTGAAAATGCAGAGCGCTAGAGTGATAGACGCATGGGTAGCATTGGAGACGGGGTGTGTGCCTTACCTCCACGCAGGTCTCAATCTCCGTGTACTGGTTCATGATAGGCAGGATGGCCTCCATGGTGCTGTGGTCCACCACATCAGACTTGTTACCAACCAGAATGATGGGAATCCTGTGGAATTCCGTCACGGCCCGGCAGGGAAAAAATATGATCAATACCTTTAGGATTGGTAAAAAAAATCAAGCGATTTACATTGGCAGTTATGCAGACCCAACTTGTAACAAAAAATATGCAGCAATGGACTAACAATAATAGTTTCTGCCCCCGTCTCCCTGCACTCATGGGGGGCCACTGCCTCAATTTAAGCCTACTATATACATATGGATAGTTTTATATCTCCAAAGCAGCATTGATGACAAACGCGGTGATCAATGTATTGTTGTGCCTTTGCACTTTGGTAGCAATCATATGTTAGGAGAGACATTTTTTTAATGGTACGTTGCAAGGCCGGAAGGGCAGTTTTGATGACAGAATGAATGGCTATATTGTACATTGTACTGCAATTAGTTCTATAGTCTATTTTTGCAATGATGTATATCTGAAATTTCAGGGTTGCCCCTCAATACATGTTTTTTTTTTCCCAGGAACATTGCTTTCCTCCCACATTCCAAATAGCAACAAGCTAAAGCTGAGTATCATATTCTCAATATATTAATTTTCCCAACATCTCAATGCAGGAACCTTCTGAAAAGTATCTGAGTGACACCATTCTTGGTTCATGAAGGGCATTATTATTGTATGAAGGAAATGCAAGTCAATACTATCAACTATATTGTGCAAACAAACAAGAAACATAGATACAAGTCACAAGCGGAATAACACTTTGCAATGATGCATAGCGGACAATAAAATCACAGTAGTAAACCATGCAGCATTGCATTCCACTACAGTAACACAATTATTTTCCTGGAATGTTTTTTTTACAACTTTGAACATGTGGTGTCAATAAGCATATTAGAAATAAAGGGGTATTTTCAATTTATTATGATACCACAAGGGCATATTCACAGCTGGGCTCATATGCATTTGTGTCTCACCGCTCATCTTTCTCAATAGTTTCATTGATGAGAGGAACCCATTTACTTGTGATCTAAAAGAAGAAAGATTTCATTATATTTATTTACAAAAACGCATGATATAAATTCAGTGCAGGCTTAGCAAAAAATAAATATCAAAGCAAACCAAAGAATGAATTGGGTGTACATTAAACACGAAAAAATATAAGTGGTTAAAGAAAAAACATAAAACATTACGGAAAATTGCACTTACCTTTTCAATGGAACGTTCATTGTCCACCGCATACACAATACAGATTACATGTGCCTGCAAGAAGCAATACAAACAACATTGTTTTGGCCTTGCAACCTTTTTACAAATACACACACAGTAGTGGTGATTCTACTAATGATATCCAAATATTCGTGCTCGTTTTGAGGATTCATGCTTTAACTATTTAAAATAATGTAACACTTTTGAGATAAAATCTGCAGTTCTAAACAACACCAATTTTAACAATGTGCAATGCTACCGACAAATGAACCCACACGTTACTTCATTAGGATTATACATAACAACCATCACCCCAGGTCACTCTTGCAATTAAGACTATGCTGGTCTCTTGAGTTCTCACCCAGTTCAACAAAATACATTTTTAACTTTGTATAGAACATTGGCAACGTCAGAACACACTTCACAGTACATAGTGATATAAAACACATCGTTTGTGTCGCTTTTCGTTTCCTAATTCCAACCCTGTTGCACAGATTAAGCGTGTGAACGAGGAGGGGGATTCAGCTCAGCTGTGACCATGACCGAATTAACAGACATCCTCATAATGTAGTGTCCGGCAGGTTCTGGAAACTGTAATTTGGACTTTGTGAAGTCTGTACATAACCTTCAATTTACATAATGACCAGGTCAGATGCTCATCATCAGCAATAGCAGAAGACTTAAGAAGTTATTTATACGAATGGCATTAAGAGCTAATGCTATCCTAATCAGTCACATGATCCAATATCTTGGACTAATCCTCCCAAGAAAAAAAGTAACTCAATAGATTGTGTTCTCTACAAGTAAATGCAAACTTTGGCAACTGATGACTAAATCATGCAGCATAACACATAGAAAATAGCTTACTCTTAAAATTTCATCTTGCAAATCATCATCTGTCTGTTCTGCAGCTGCCAGAGAAAAAGGAAAACACATTAACTTTTTTTTGACAGAAGCAGTATAATTAGTTTCACAACTTTGCGAGAAAAGTAGCCAACTTGACAACACGATCTCAATGAAGCCCCACCTACCGGAATAGTCAACAATGTGTGTGGGCACTTTTTCTGGCGTAACGTCAGCTGGAATCGTGATCTCTTCTGCGCGGGCGGGCACCTGAAAAACCAAAACAAATCAGGCCAGAAGTCAGCGTTTGAAGGTTATTGTCACCACATCTTTGGTCGCATACCACACGCAGCCAAACCAGTAAAATCTGGACTCAACTACGAAAATAACTTAAACGGAGAGAGATATTTCCAAGAAAGGTAACGTGTTGTAGGTATGTGTACGTAAATTACGAATAAAGTGCTCGGAAATGTTGGTGTTCATCTCACCTCCTCTGGAAACTCTTCACTCACAAGGGACATAATGAGTGAGGTCTTGCCCACCTTGGCTGTACCACGCATGCGACAAATGACAAACATGCAACAATGAATTACTGGGGGGAGTTAATGTGGACGTGCACGTAGAGCTATTGTGCCTGTCCACTGCTGGATGAGGGCCTCCCCACGCCATGTGGATCGTGGTGATAATGTAACTAAATGTGGAGTGTAGACGTGGGAGTACATGTGTAAGGGATCTGCAAGCCACCCTTACGCACACGCACCACGCAGACACGACATCTCCGCTCTCACGAACACGCACCAATCACACGCGCGGGAATACGCTGGACGGGGGTCAGGGGTTAAAGGGCAAATGATGTCACCCGGTCCAGAAGCGTACCAAACGTGGATGTGTATTGGGAGCAAGGGCGGAGAGGTTAAAAGGGGGCTGTGGGACGTGTGCTCGGGGTTGGTTTGGAACGAGTGTTGCTGTTCGTTGTTTAATTAAAGAAGTGTTTCAACTATTCTCAGACGCCTCTTCACATGAATACAGTACAATAGATTTTGCTGCATCGCCCTCTGCTGCTCACCACATAGCCCCCAGCGGAAGCCTAAAACGCCTGTCTGATTCATGCATGGTCGCTCATCCAAGTCCACTCAACCCTTTGAAGCTTCCAAGACCGGGCGAGAACGGACGCATTCCAGATCAGTTGGTCATGACGGTTAATTGTTCGTTACTGGACGCAGATTTCAAGTACGAACGACTACCTAAAAATGTAATTCCATTCATTACATGCGACATTTACACAACTTATCTGTCCGTAAAAACACGGCGTTCCAAGTTTTTCCACACCAATATCGCAGCGACATAAATTAGTGTGCTTATAAACGCGTGCAATACAAAGTGTAAGGCCAACGATGCACTGCATCGATAACATCACGTGCTTGCGCCGTGTAAAGCACAATAAAGCTTGTTCGGACATGCAGACAGGCGATGGCTCATCTTCAACTTATCTTGGCTTTAACGTAACAAGCATTTAAGGCCGAGTCAATTGGGGTTTAAATGGCATCTCAGGCCGCAGTAACAACTGCTTCTTAGCTGTGTGCGTAATCTTTATATATATTAAAAAAAACTTTTTTTTATCACGGACCATAATCTATTCACTGCTGAAAGAAGGCCTTCCCCACGAACTCCGGGTGGCTGTCCGATGGAACGCGTTTCATTCCTCAGAAGTAAATCCCGTCGTTTATTTATGCCCATTAGCCATCAATCATCCCTTTCCTCCTGACCTACCCAACTCTCAGCATTTATCAGACCGTACGTAAACTTTAAAGGATACACCACGGTATACACGACATGATTTACAGTAAATGCCAGCTTGTAACTGTTGAAGACACTGCACAAAGTTTGTTTCCAAGCGATAGTATAGTGCTAAAAACAAGATGTCAAAGGAAGGCGAGCCGAAACGTCGACGTTGATTTTCCACTCAACAAAAAAAGAACTTGATTCGTTACATGGACAACGTAAAATGACAATAGCGAGCTCAAATGTAAATATTTGTACAACCGACTTGACGCATACTGGGTGCATTAATACTGCAAAGTAGGGGCACAAACGCGTTAAACCTTCCATCGTATAGAAAGGCAACCGCGTCACACAGCACGTACGCAATTCAACTGAGCAATAAATAAAGTTAACGATCCAGTCAGTACACGTTTCCAGGAGTGGGGCAGGCTGGTACGCCCCACCCTGCTCTGCCGGCGACACCGACTCCAAACCCCGCCCCTCAACTAGGCCGCAACCGAGGCTGCAAAATTACGACCGCGAGGCCTACCGCCTCGACGAGGGTACACAAACGGCCCTGCTCGCGACGGTCACTCACGCTCTCCCACGAGCAGGATTCGCACATCCTTCTTCATGGCTCCCGGTCGCTTTGCTGGGGGAAGGGGGGTGGGTGTGATGTGGGGACACTCCGTGCGGGAGCCGAGTTTGTGGGAAGGGGGGGGGGAGATGTCGCGACCGTCTCCCCAACCGCGCGCTTCAACGGAGCCCGCGCTGCGCGACCTCCATGTCTCCGCCGCCGAGGCGAGGTAGCCGGCCAATGGGAGCGCGGCGTTGTCGCGACGTCACGCGTCTCGCGCGAGGTCAACGACTCCCCTCCCCCTTCTCCCTTCCCCCGCCCCCTCTGTCCCCTCTGTCCCCGCCCCCCTCTCCCCTCGCCCCCACCGGGCAGGGTTGCGCTTACGAGTGCGGCGACACGTGCGTGGTTGAGGCTGAGCGCGTGCCGTGCAGCACGTGTCTCACCACCCCCCCCCTGCCCAACGTTCCCCGCTCCTCTACTTACGAACAAAGCGGTTCCAGGGTATCTGTTCGTAAGTCGATTTTTTTCGCGAGTGAAACTCGATTCCAAACGTGGACACTAAACACGGGGAATCGCTTTAAAGGTTGTATAACCTCCTCTGGACGCCACTGGTTCGTCACGTTCTGCATATTTAGATGCCACCACGGCCATCTATTGTACGGCGGTTGAACTTACGACTCTCGGTCAAAACAGGCAACTGGACATATAGGCAGATTTATTGGTATCTCTGAATGTTCGTAAATAGAGGAGTCAATAGAGTGTACGGACAGGCCCCGACTTACGAACGGGGTTCAGTACCTTGAGTTCTGATGCTGGCTTGCTTGTGGGGAGCATTTATAAGGAGATCCATTACATCTCGCGGAGCCGAACAAAATAGTTCCACTGTTCGCAAGTCGGATGCTTTAAAGATAATCTTACAGCGGTTCCTTGGTAAGTGCGGATGTTCATAAGTCGGACGTTCGTATCCCGGGGACAGTCTGTACTGTATTATAAGCAGGGGTCGAGAACCTTTTTGGCTGAGAGAGCCATGAAAGCCACATATTTTAAAATAAATTTCCGTGAGAGCCATATAATATTTTTTTAACACTGAATACAACTAAATGCGTGTATTTTTAACTAAGACCACCAATTTTAGAATATAATAAGTCTCTGAATGTATCCTTTTTAATGACGTTATACCAACAACCAATAATAAATAAAGTACTTCTTACCATTAATGCGACTTCTGGTGCTGCATGGTTTTGCTGATGGCTTTGTAGTCTGGTTGATACGTGGTGAGGTTAAGCTTCCTGCAGGCGTTGAGGCTTTCATCCGTTAAACGGGATCGTAGGTTGGTCTTGATGTCTTTTAGATGTGAGAACGACTGCTCACATGAATACCTAGAACCAAACATGGTCAATACAGCAATACTCACACGCTGCAGTGTGTGGTATGTGACAGGAAACGCGTTCAATCAGTTGGTCTGCGGATTGAAGTTTTTAAATTTCTGTCCACTTGTGTTTGCTCGCCAGCTCTGCTTGCTGTCGTTCAAGTCTTTCCAAATCTTCATTCAGTGACTTGAACTTATTCACCCACATGTCTGAGGCCTTCAGGTCAGCAACTTCCAGCTCAAAATCTCTGATGGAGACACCAGGGATGTAACTCAGGTCGGCTTTGTCCACTGCACACTCGTGTGGATGAGTGATGAACTTGAAAAGACGAGTGTGCTCACGAAATTCTCCAAAGCGTGCTTTGAATGACTGCTGGAGATCAGATGTGAAGCCAGCTAGCTGCTGGAGATCAAAATGTTGAACGGGGTCACTTGCTGTGCACGCATCTTGAAATTCTCTCATTTTTTCAAAGTGCAGTCAACGACCTGTTTCAATATCCACGATGAAGAGTTCCAGCTTGTTTTCAAATGCAAACACTGCTTGTTGAAGGGATAAGACTGTATTTCCAATGCCTTGCATTTTCACATTGAGCTGGTTCAGATGTCCAGTCATGTCCACAAGATAGTAAAACTTCAGGAGCCACTCAGTGTTAGCTAGCTCAGGATGCTCGACATCTTTCATTTCAAGAAATGTCCGGATTTCGCTCAGGCAAGCCGCAAAACGGCTGATCACCTTCCCTCTTGACAACCAACGCACATTGCTGTGCAAAAGCAGACCGGGATAATGATTCCCAACTTCATCCAGCAGTGTTTTAAACTGGCGATCATTTAAAGCTCGGGCAACAATAAAGTTGGCCACCCGAATGACCAGTGACATCACCTCACCAAGCTGCTCGCCACACATTTGAGCACAAAGCGCCTCCTGATGTAGAATGCAGTGAAGACTTAGGATTGGTCTTTTTCATGTTGACGAAGAAGCGCTACAAATCCTCTGTTTTTCCCCACCATACACGGAGCACCATCAGTACACACCGAAATAAGCTTATCCATCGGTAGATTTTTTTCTTTAGCGAACTCAATGAAAGACTTGAATACATCCTCCCCTTTTGTTGACCCTTTCATTGGCAAAACAGCAAGACTTTCTTCACGCAGTGTGTCACCGGCAGCATACCTTGCAATCACACTGAACTGGGATAAATGACTTACGTCTGTTGACTCATCCAAAGCGAGGGAAAAGTATGGCGCTGCATTTATGTCCTTCACTTGTGTTTCCTCCACTTGATTTGCCATCATTATGGTACGATCGTGAACAGTTTTTGCTGACAGAGGCATGTCTTTTATTCGGTTATCTTGTCTTTATCCGAAAAGTCGTCAAAAAGTTAGTTGGCCACATCAAGCATGAATGTTTTGGCATACTCGCCATCTGTGAATTGCTTTCCGTTGCTCACAATTGCTAAAGAACCAGCAAAGCTATCCGAATTCCCGTCACCTTGTCTGGTCCATACACGGAGTGACTAGCTTGCACTCTGGACAGTAGCTCTTGGCATGCCTTCTTTCTGCTGTCCCCCGCTGGATATTTCGATGCAAATGTAGCATGGTGTGTGTCGAAGTGCTGCTTTATATTTGACCGTTTCATCGATGAAATGTTATCATTGCATATTAGACACACCGCAGAACCTGCTCTCTCCACAAAGGCGAATTTTTCTGTCCATTCGTGCTGAAATGTGCAGTACTCATCTTTTTTTCTTTTCGCCATCTTCTTCAAAAGGATTTGCTCTGCATAAATTAGCTAGCTATTTGATTAAAAGGACGGAAGTTTACTTCTTGACCTCACAACGACCCGTAGGCTACCGCATTATCCAATAAAAATAGAGTTTTGGTGTCGGACAGCTGGGATTGGCTCCAGCCACCTGCAACCCTGAGCAGAAGCGGTAGAAAATGGATGGATTAAATGCATGAGAATGTTTTATATTTTAAACGTTATTTTTAACACTGTGATTTCTGTAATGTTTTACTTTAATGTGAGCGGAATTATTCATTACTTATCATGTTAAGAAATGTCACCTAAGATTTATTTGCGAGCCAGATGCAGTCATCAAAAGAGCCACATCTGGCTCGTGATCCATAGGTTGCCGACCCCCGATAGAGGGAAGCTTTCGCAAATTGAAGATGGGCGAATGATAGACATTTAGATACATTTGTAGGAATCTTATATAAAAGGCCATTTTCCTGAAACGTCACCTATTCGTATTAGTGCTTGTACACGACTGCCAACGCAGCATCACCAAATAATGTTTTAATTGTAGGGATGGGTGACAAGTAGAATTCAAGGATTATAGAGCTTCTACATATGACTAAAAATATTTAAATTATGGTGAATAAGCATGTACAACGTTCATGATCATTAATTTATATCGAATCGATACTTTTTCAATTAAGCAATCTTTCATTCATTTTCTTGAGAGTAACTGAATTATATAAACAGTACAAATTTGTTCCTTTGAATAACATGGAAGGTGTTTAGATATGAGGCAACAATGGTTGTTTGTGCTGGGTGTATTGAGAACTTTTCACACCAGAACCAGTCAGAGGCAAATCTAGAAACCTCCCAAGAGGTGGAGGCGGACACAAAATGTCAATACTAATATGGTCCTACATTATAATTTTGTTTAATCCTCCATCGTGCACTTCCCCCTCCCTCTTCCGCTCGATCCGGATCCACCAGTCGTGATGCATGGGTGATGGCGAGACATGCATTGGAGACTTAAGAGCAGATGATGGGAGACTGTCAGGGCAAACCTTGGAGGTTGCAGGGGGTCGCTTGTGCAGCAGCTGCAGGGTAGAAAAATCATTGCTGAGGTGTGGTGGTGGTGGCATAAGTGGTTTTGGCCACAACTTCCTTGATCTAGTAGAATTGTGATCAGGGGGGTAACGTGGAAAATAACAATCGTTTTAAAAAAAATAATAAGCTACAAGACACACCCCAAACTTCTGCCCATTACAAAGATGAAATATCCCCCCATATAGCCTAACCGAGATTTTGCGCAAGTGCTGTTAGCGGGGGCACCTATGAAGGCCAGTACGGTACACGAGGTGGATGGCCAGCACTACGCCCGGTCGCCTTTTTATCCCTAGTGACGGGTTTACACATTATACCAGGTACTCATTGGAGGACGATTAGATCCAGGGAAGGCCCAGGAACGGTTTAGATTATCGTCACTGGTTTTGGCCAGGAGTGGGAATCGAACTGGGGTCGCCGGGATAATACTGCAGGACGCTAACCACTGTGCCACCACAGTGGTTAGCGCGCGTGTGCCCAGTACACATCTGGTAACACACACACACACCGGATTACAGACAAACCTAAGGGGTGCCTCTTACAATCCAAATAGGCAATTTCTAGGCATGTAACTTCACTGCCGTATTCATACATCACCCGGCCGGTGGAGGTTGAAGCATACACGTAGAATCATCGTGCAATACAAACGTCCCTATTGCTGCACTGCCCTCTGCTTGCAATGAAACCCCACAGAAGCCTATAACACCTGTTTTATGCATGGTTATCACTAAATAAAGCACGATCCAGGCTCAACGAACGCAGCTTCAACTTGCTGTTTATAAAACATTCATTACTGCCAGATTTACACTCCAGAACGTGCTATGTTTTTATATATATAAAGTTGTTACTCAGTAAATGTTATAGCGTTGTGTAACAGGTGCGAGTGAACTCAAAACAGTCAAGAGAATTTAGTAAAAAAAAATACTTTAATCGTACAACATAGTTAACTGCATTCGCAAATATATCGTATGTACACATGCGGTATGTTGATGAAACGCATCAGCTGTTGTTCCACCAAGACAGCAACCCCAGCCCTGGCTCGCTGATAGAAGCCTGCACACAGTCAATGTGAACGCAAACGTGTTACTGCACCCACCACGAGTGACGCGCATCGCACACGTGTTTAAAACCACAATACAGTATTCCCTTGTTATTCGCTCGGGATATGTGTTCTGGAGATGCTCGTGAAGAGTAGGTTTTTTTGCCGCTAATGATTTTAAATAAATTACCTTAAATACATAAGCTATTAAGTAGATTAACATAATCATGAAACATTTTTCGAATACAAAGTAAATACAAATATTAAAGTATTAAATAATTCGTTATACATCAACTTACCTAAAAAAAGTATGATGCTGCGCTATGACACCACTTTATCTCATCACATTCTCTCTCGTCACTTAATCTCCTCACTTTTCTCCCTCTCTCTTTTGATGCAGTGAGTAGCATTCCAGATGCGATTCGCGGATAGACACAATTGCGGATAGCAAGCTGGTTAATAACGAGGGAATACAGCACGCGAACAAAAAACATCCACAGGTATTCAAGACCGATCCAGTTTGCAGCACACAATCGACAAGAACAGTGGTTTGTTAATCTGCTTCTGAATGAAGCCACAAATCCACACTGATCAGCAAGGTGAAGGTCAAATAACTTGCATGGCCCATGCACAATCTGCATCAGAAAAAAAACATTTCTTCAAGACCATTGTGGACTACATTTTATAAAATCTTGTGCTCTTTTAGATTCATTTAGCTTACACGAAATTTTTTTTCTATTCAATGCACTCTTTCCCTCTTTTCGTTATAAAGCATGTCAATGATTCATAACACAATCATCTGAAAACTTGTTTTGGAGGTTATGCAATGACACACGTGTTGTCAATTGTACTTTAATAATGGTCACGGGTAGCTTGTGTTGCAGCGAACGATCGAGGAAGCCATCCAATAAACACTTAAGGCCCTGGTATGATGAAGAACGTTGTCCAGAAAGGCCTATTGGACAACGGAAATATTACTTTATTTCAGTTTGTGGTGGACAGGTGGCTCAGAGGTCAGAGAGTTGAACCGGCACAGCTGAGATCATTGGCTTGAAGCCGTGACTAAACTGGGTTTTCAAGTGTCGTGCATTGATGGTCTAAGCCAGGTCACCAATGACTGCACACATTACATTGGTGTTTCACTTAATTTGGGCTAATGACCGTCGTGCGATAAACATTACGCTGGGTGGCACGGCAGGTTGGAAATGCTGTTCCCTACTGTGTAGATCAGAGTTCACTTGAAGGATTCTCGAGAGCAGCTGCATAATATCAGCTTTCACAAATCATTCTTAAACTGACCTACGAGTTCTGAATACATACTTAATTTCATGACTTGATGTCCATTTGGAGAAAATAATGTTTTATATATATTAGTTTATTTATTTATTGACACTTCGACCACTCAGCCAATGCCACCCACCACTTGTCACCACTTTTCCATCTCTAAAATAGGTGATGACCAAGGCATTGCCCAGCCGAAACAAGGTGTATTTTTGTACGTACCGTCAGCGAGTACGGTGCTTGCTTCTTCTGGAAGTCCTCGGCCGGCACGGAAGCCGCACTGGACCCCGGCGTGGCCGCCGTCGTGCCGTCTCCGGCGGCCTCGGGGCCCGACGGTGTCGTGTCCACAAAGGTCTCGTCCATGACGCGGAAGCGAACGTCCTCCCCAACGTCCATGAAGAGGTCGTGGGTGCCCTCCTCCGTCTCGTACTCCCATACCCACACCTGCTCGCCGTCATCGCTGCGAGCGTGTGTCAAGGCAAACGTGCAGTGGGAACGTGTCCGTGTGTGTGCGTGTACAGTAAAATCTTAATTATCTGGGTGAATTAGTCGGTGAGAAGTGACCCGGATAAAATAAATAGATCGATAAAAAAAGGATGTATATTAATCCAACTGCGTAGGATTTCACAGTTGTGCTGTACAACTGTCCAATACGTATTCAGCTCGTACCGCGTGTTGTTCGTCACCATGTCCGACGTTTCGCTCCATGTGTTGGGAGCTTCAGCAACAAAATTATTCCAAAACTGAATTATGCAGTTTGCTCCGTCCTGAGACGTCAGACATCATCCTGAACAACATGGGGTACAATCCAAAAACACCAGACAGCTATAAGGCTATAAAAATGTATATATATTTACTTATGTATAATGGGGTGAGGTGATGGAATGTAATTTGTTCTTGTTGATGTCACGTAGGCTCTGAGTCACAATCCCCAGATGAGCGAGGACCAGTTCATGAGCCAGTAGCGTGTGCATGCGAGAACATTTTATTTATTTACTCTACAATACTCCGTTTGGTAATAATGGTTGTGTACAATTTCAGCACAATTGCCAATGGTTGCTATGAATGAACGCGACTTCCATTTGCGTTGCTAATTATGCTACTGTACCCGGTTACAAAAATCCCTTGCAGGATATTACCAGGATTACACAATTATAAAAACTAACTCATACAAGTTATATTGAGCTGGTTGGCAAGGGTGAAAGGCGAGATACCAGAATTTTAGTTGTCTTCAAGAATGACGTCTCGAGAAGGATACAACTTGGACGGTTGCTGCAACGACTCTGGGGGGATGCGAATGTCATCGAAAAAACCCAGCGACACTGGAAATAGAACAAATTCACATATGAAATTAGAAAAAAACACGATCAACCTAACTATAAACGTAGGGCTTTCTCGGCCAATATTATGATACATAATTGGTCACTCTTGACTCGAGCTCTGAGCTGTTAACCTACGGATGCTTGGATGCAATCTCCAGCCAAGCGTAATTCATCATTTTAATGTTGTGAGATAGCTTTTCATCAACAACACCGGTGCTGCTGCTGAAGCCGCAATAAATGTGGCACGTTTGATTTACGTGACACTTTAAAAAAATAAATGAATCAATCTTTCTGTTGAAAGATGTCCAATTAAACGTACTCTAATTGCACACCTCTGTACAAGCAGCATTGACCAATAGTACGGCAGTAAACCATAGTTGTTATATTTGGAATACACCCGACATGAGGATTTCTCAACTCGAGTTCTTGCAACCCATTATGGTGCGGCTTTCCAAGTTTACAAAGTCACCTCCGTTGAAATGCAAATTAAGTATTTATCGGAATCAAATGTGGGGTGATTTAATAATGCTCCTGCCTACTTCTGCACTCTCATCTCACTCTACTCCCTTCCACACACTCTCCTCTCATCTCCCTACTCACTTCCATGCCCTCTCTCTTACCTGTCCCTTCTCATCTTACTCTACTCCCCTACACACAACATCCACTCCATCAACAAAAGCCTTGTCAAAACCCCCAGTCAACCTTCGCCCAGTGAGGTTGCTCATTCTCTTATGCTGCCGTCACAGTCTGGAATTTCCTTCCCAGGCAGCATAAATTTAAAAAAATCTTCTGCCTACGATTGCCTTTATAAAATAAAATCCCCACCCTTTCTGTCCAGCGTCTTGAGATGTGTTCACTTTTATATGCTATATACATTCCAATTAGATTATACTACAGTCGTAAATGCCGGGTGACCAGGACTGGGCGTGCGAGTGTGAAGACATGAAGTTGTTCAGACTCACCCTGAACCCCCTCTTGACTGCAACACTTGATCTTGCCGATGAGGATCTCATCCAGAAATGGGCGGAACACCACGAACCGGAAGTGAACTGAGGGACACATAGCGGCACAGTGTTCACATCAAGGGGCAAAATGTTAGCCTTGGTGCATGTGTACTTTGAAAGTCTCCAAGTGTACCTAGCCTGGCACAAGCGCCGTGGGGACACCACCACCACCACTTAAGAGGCGAACGGCGATTTTTGTTGTTGTATGTTGAACTTCTTTCGCACCGTACGTAGCCGTGCTGATCGTAGGTGCGGGAAATTGTAGGTGCAAGAATTGTGTGCGTGAAACGGCACCTTTGGTGTGTGATGCGCCATCGCCAGGGAACACGAAGGAGTCTTCCATCTTCGTGATGTCGTACAGGCAGACGCACAGCCCCACGTTGTAAACAACCTGCCGGAACAGCGATATCTGCTCATCTCCAATCGCTCCTGCAAGATTGTCTGTCTAAACAAATGCTGCTAGAAACCAGTGGCTCAGTAGACCTCCTGGGCCTGTGTTCTTCATATGCAAGGCCCGCGGGCCCCTGGTGGCCTCTAGTACGGCCCCCAACAATACACAAATGTGAAAACACTCCCCATGATCATCATCATCGTGCTGTCAAACCCCAATGGTGTCAAAAACGTCCTCACATTGAAGATGCCTTATCGGCGAAACTGGCCCACCGCCTCTGAAAATTAGTGAAGAACACTGTCCCTCGGCTCATGGACCGTGATTTATATGGGTGATCACCAAGAATTTACCAGCCAGGAGATGACAGTGTCGAGTGTCGCCACTTCGAATAATGTGTACGGCATTCACGGGGCAGACATTCCAGTGAAGATCCTCACGACCGAGCGAGGCTGGCTCCTTGGTAAATAATGTCATTCATTAGCGTTCGATACTAAACGTGCCCGTGGTTTCCGATTCACGGGTCGCACACAAGGGCGCGATACGGCAACGTTTGACAGCGACTAAGATCATGGAACCGAAATATGAAACACGGATGCAGCGTCCTGGTGATTTATTTTTTTGGAATTGCGTGGACAAAGAAGAGGAACGCGTCATTTAGAGAAGACAACTCACGTTCGAGACTTTTGTGCGCCTGTTCATAATTAACAGTGCGCCTGGGAAACAACCGCGACGGCTAGAAGGGATGATGGCCAATGACGGAATGGCAGCCCAAGGATGGAACGCGTCCACCAGGGGGGTAACACCCCCCGCGGGGATGGAGCAATGACATCTGCTGGTGGGCAGGTTCTACGTGAAGCGTCTACATCGCAGGATAGCGAGAGAGATTTCGACGGATTTGGGGTGAACCTTCATCCAGCAGTGGCTTGAGCATGGGTGCCGATGAGTGGATTTGGCCAAATACGGTACCCCCTCCCCCCCTCCCCTCCCCAATGATGATCTTCTCGAAAAAAATTATCTGGGTTAATAAAGTCCTGTGTTTAGTGTTACAGTGTTTATTATGATTATGTGGTGGGCTGGTGGAGCGTTGGCGCAGTGGTAGGCAGAATGCGCTATGGAACCGGCCGCCACTGTTGGCGTCAGTGGCGGGCGATGTCCCCATGCACGTGGTGGCTTTGGGGCCCCACATCCTGCACCCACACCACATTGTGACCGGCACAAAAGACCACCCCCCTCTCCACCCCACCCTATAGCCGTATACCATACTGTTGGGGCAAGTGCTGTGAGCGAGCACCTTTGAAGGCCGGCAACAGGCACACGAGAGGGTCGGGTGGCCGGCACCACGCCCGACCGCCTTTGTCTCCCCCGGTGGCGATGTTTTTATTTGAATTTGACACACACCGCACCAAGTGACTCGTTTGAGGCCGAGCCGACCTTGGGGTGGCCCAGGACTGGATCAGCTCATCGACACCGGTTGTTGTCCGTGTGCGGGAATCGAACTCGGGAAACTTGTGACCAGCGACAGCGACGTACGACGGACGGTCTAACATAACCGCGCGGCAGCGCCATCATCCTCCTCCTACTCACCTTGTTGGCGAGCTTTTTATTGAGTTCCGCAGTCACGGCCTCGTTGAGTTTCACCCCGAAGTTCCAGGGCGGGATGCGGACAGTGTCGCTCATCTCTACCAGCAGGAACATGACCAAGCAAAGTGCCACGGCACGCAGCAATCGCGAAACCCAACGCCGGCCTCGAAGTCAACGGGGGCCTGCAAGCGACAACAACGCCGCCAACCCGACTAGCACCAGCCCGGTCTGCTGCCCGCGGCTGTTACGGGAGTCTCATCTGGCACGAGAGTGAAAATTAAACCCTTCGCGTCGGCTTATCAAATAAGAAAAGAACCCGCGGTTCGATTGATAATTCTCTGAACACGTGGGTGGGACGGGGAGGGGGTGAGAAGTGGGGCTCACGAGCGGCCCAAACACGTGGAGGAGGTGGGGGGAGGGGGGTGGAGGAGGTGGGGGGAGGGGGGTGGAGGAGGTGGGGGGGAGGGGGTGGAGGGGGTGGAGGTGGGGGGAGGGGGTGGAGGGGGTGGAGGTGGGGGGAGGGGGTGGAGGGGGTGGAGGTGGGGGTCGCGAGCTCACCACCCCCCACCCCGATATCCGGTGACGTCACGCCGCCCAGGCCGACGACGTCAGAGGGGGACCGCGGCTCTCCGCCCCGGGGTTGTTGGTGAGGCCGCCGCCTCCTCCTCCTCGTCGCGACCCCCCTCCCCGCCCGTCCGCTTTCTACCTCCTCACCGTGCCGCCGAGTCTCCCGCACTCTTCGTCGTCTCCCGCCCGCCCCGTCGTCCCGCGTGTGGATCGGGTCGTGGCACAGGTGAGGGATCCGCGGCGAAACCGCCCCCCCCCCACTCACCCACCCCATCCTCGCCGACCCTCGGGGGTGGTGGCTGGGCCGAGCCGGGTTCCCCTACCGGAAAAGGTGCGCCTAACGCGGCAGAGCCCGCTAGTACGACGGCGTGTTCCGCGTCCCGACTAGGCCGCGTTCGCCGGCGTTCTTCGGCGGCTCTGCGCTGGGGTTCGCCTCGAGTTGAGCGGCGTACGGAGAGCCTGCCGGCGGCCAGGGCTTGTGAATCGCGGGCCCGTGGATGGGTGGTTTGAGCCCGGCTGAGCCGAGCCGGCTACCCCTACTACCGACACGCGCTGGCGACAAAGCGCTTTGTGTGCCCTGGAGCCTCTTGTGCTGAACAATAGGGGGGCAACCCGACGGCGCGTGGACGGTCACTTCGCCGTGCGCGCTGTTGTGTGTGGCCGGGTATGACCTCGGGAGATTCGCATGGAGCGATAGGCAAAGGTAAAGCTTTCCAGCAGCGTTACGCAGCCGACGAACATTTTTTTAAAAAAAAAAAGCTGCTTGTTTGGCCGGATAGAGTGGGGTAAACAGGCGCGGCGCGGACTAGGGGAGAGGGGTGAGCTGATGTGGCATGAGAGAGGATATGGAGGTGAGAGGACTTGCCGATGACTGGTACCAGCGGTGTGAAGATCGATCTCTGCGGGACGCTGCCGAGAGGCTATAGCCCTCAACAACGGAGGAGCGACGCTCGCAACAACGAGCGGAGCGCCAGGCGGCAAAAGTGTAGCGAATTGGCACAGTGGGCAGCACAGATGGTGCGTCTGTAATCTCGGCCGGTCATCCCATAAAACCTGGGTCTACTCCGTGACCTGCCAGCGAGCCTTCGACACTTCATGTGGCTCTAAAGTGCACCTAGCCTGGCACGAGCTTTGTGGTGATGCCCACGCCACTTTGTGGCGAATGGCGGCTGTTCTGGTTGTCTGTTACCGGTCCGCGTGAGTTTTATTGTGTCGTCTTTGTGTACTTGTTTACACGGCTGTGTGAATTTGTGTTGTCTTTTTACGTGTTGCTGTGTCAATTTGTCGTCTGTTTTTTTGTCTTTTGTATGTACGAGTGTCTTTGTTTTTCTGTCTGCATGCGTGTGTACGTCTTTTGTGTGGTTATCTATGAACGTGTGTCTTTTGTACGTACAAGTGCCTTTGTCTTATATGTTTGCGTCTTAAGTTGTTTTCTGTGTGCGTGTAAATTGTATTTTTGTATGTTTGAGTGTCTCGTCGTATACATTACTGCATGTGTATTGTATCCGAGTGTGAATGTTGTTTGGGTGAACGTGTCTTTTGTATGTGTATTGGTGTGGCGTTATGGCTGCAAGTGTGCGGGGGGTTGTCTTTGTATCCGGTCTATTGTGTACATTTGAAGTCATGTGGGTGTGTATTAGAATACATAGGTGTTGTATTAACATATGCGTCTCACGGCTGTAACTGGGGCTCGCTCACAATATCTGCCCTGTCTGGCTTTCATGGGGCAGCTTTGACCGTATGCAGATGGGTGGAGAGCTGTTGGCACACTGCGCTGTGATCTTAGCTTCCCCAGGTTCGAGTCGCGAGCTTATGTTGGCATCACTACGCCGGTGGTATTAAAATATGTTCTGGGTTTGCCCGAGTTCCACTCGGCCATAAATACGAACCTGGTGTGGTGTGTCCATTTATTTTCAGGGGGGGGGGAGACAAAAAGGTGGCCGAGTGTAGTTGTCACAACACCACCACCACCTCGTGAGCCGTGGCCAATTTATTAGATGCTCGCTTGCGGCGCTTGACTCAAAAGTTAAAATGGATTGAGCTGGGATCTGTGCAAGTGTGTTTATCCAACTCTGTCTCGGCGCTCATTAATCTGTGAAGTTCACTCAGGGGAGAGCAAAGCTGGCAACGTGGCACCCTCGCCAACATTGTATAGAGCACACAAACGTACACTACGTTTAATTGCTTCCAATGCGGTAAACATTGCACGTACAGTATATGTATGTACGATTGCATTGCATAATGTTAAACAGGTTATTTTAGTTTTGATGCCTTTATTGCTTGTGGGTATTTACAGTTGCGCTGTATAGCTCGGATGTGTGTTGGGGTTGTGCTGTGTGCTATTCGTCATGACGTCTTGACGTTTCTCTCCACGTGCCCGGGACCTTGACGCTTTGTAAGCTGCCACCAGCGGAGTCAAACGTCAGACATGCTGGGAGCTTGAAGATGCTACCATCACACGGAACTAAATGTCCGATATACTGCGCTACAACCAGAAAACGCAACGGAGAGCTATATAATTTTTTTTTGTGTTAGATGGCAAATACCTAGGTCTGTTTTGTATCGGAATCGCTCCCCTTCGTTAAGATGCATTGTTTTTTACCACTCTTTTAGAGGCAGGATGTGTCCACACCACCCATTGGCGAGTACCCCCTCTCATTGTTCTGCTGCGCGCGATTTCAGGAAACCGATGCCGCACGGAAAACCTTAAGCGGCGCCAGCCCGACAGCTCGGGACGGAGGGAGGTGGAGGAGGTGGAGGAGGACGGGGAGAGAGCGGCATGGGGCAGTGCGTGGAGCGGTGCAGGCGGGACTCCCGTAATTCGCCACAGACGAGAGCCAAAAATGGCAAGGGCGTTGGTGGTGGCGCGGTGTCGGGAGGCAAGCTGGCGTCTCAGGGTGGTGGCGCTGCCAGCCCGGCAGAACGAGCGCCGTGCCCCGACAGAGCCGTGGGCACGGCGCCCTCGCGTGGAGTTCCGTCATGTAAAGATCCCGGAGAATATCCGACAGCGGACACCAAAGATGGAGCAGAAAGCGTGGGGATTAAGGTATCACAATTGTTAGCAGTGAAGAAATAATGTTAACATATAGCCATTTTATCAATCCACTACTGGATGATGGCTTGCCCACGCCTGTGTGGGTTGTGATAGTTATTTGACGACACTTCACACTGTTCAATACGGGTTGGAAGCCCTGCAACCCTGTGTGCATCGTGGTTGAATGGGTTGAGCATATTCAATATTTTGTCATTTCCTTCATCATGGATAGCCTAATTGAGTCTACATACTCCTTTTTGAGGATCTAATGGGGTGAGGCAAATTCCATTTTTAATATTTTACATGCGAACGCAATCTAAAGTGTCCTGAAAAAAATCCACACAGCACGGATGTATCACAAACCCATTTCCTAAATTGCCATCTGGTAACCTTGCACCCGAGCAGGTGGAAGTGAGAGCACTTGATGAAATTTGCATGATCCACAAACCCTGCCTCCAGACAGCCCCTCTTGTGTCTTTTCCAAACACAAAGATCCCCTGTGTAGCCTTGAACAGACTGCTGGAGCAAGTGTTGTATGTTGAACTTCTTTCGCACCGTACATAGCCAACTGTGCTCATCGGAGGTGTGGGAAGTAAGCACCTACTGATGCCTGCATGGCGCAAGAGGAAGGGGTGGTGAGGCCAACACCACATGTAGTCGTCTACTACCACACCTTGTGCCATGCTAGGTGCATTGTATGCCAAGTGAAAGCATAGACCAAGTTGTTATGACAAAACAACCCATATTTCCTCAAAGTGTCAAATGTTAATACAGTGGTGTGTTGTGCTCACATCTACCACAGTGGCAAATGGAGGCTCTACCCTTGTGCGAGGTGTTCTTACATTTTACGACTAAAACATGGCAGGAAAAATATTTACAGATGCATACAGAGCCTCGAGTGACCATCATGTCGAAACGGGTTGTTATATGTATAGTCAACACGGAATCAGAGCTATGAAGCCCTTTTTCTACAGATGTCCAGTAGGAGCAGGCTTTGCAGAAAAATCAATCAATTTGACTGTACTTTTTTTGCTTCCGCATCTATCCTCCCTACCCCTTTAAAGTATTTTACTTCAGGCATGTGCCAACAGGACCAGCGATAAAAGCCCACCCCCACCGCATGATATTGGCCTTCATAAACACCCAAATTCATTGCACATTCACTTGGGTTCGCACAGGTGGAGTCGGGCGTTCTCATCTCCGCGCTGGAGGAGCAGGAGTACTCGGAGCAACGCATCGCCGAGATGTTCCTGCGCTACCGCGACGCCCGGGAGGACGCCGTGCTCGCCGATGGCATGGAGCGGTTCCTTGCCGATCTCCACGTGGAGCCCGCAGACTTCGTAGTGCTGGCGCTCGCGTGGAAGTTCCAGGCCGCCACTATGTGCCGCTTCTCCAGGTGCCGGCGCTGCTCAGCCATTGCCCTCCAGGCACTTGCAGTGACCTTTAAAGCTATGATTCTCTAGAGCAGTGGTTCTTAACCTGGGGTGCATGCACCCACGGGGGGTGCGAGATGCCCTTTCTGGGGGTGCGAGACATGCCAAATTTTTTTAGAAGGTAAATCATCGAAACACATTAAGCACAGGGCACGTAGGTACGACTACTTTATTTTATCAAACCGATGTATTGACGTAACATTTTTTACTATTGCAGGCTGCAGTAAAAGGTTAAGAACCACTGCTCTAGAGCTAGTTCTTTGATTGTATCTTGACTTAAAGCTTTCGTGACTGCAGGAATGCATATTCTTTGGGTCTTTCAGTCAACTCACGTAGCTAGGTTCAAAGAAAATAACAAAACACTACGACGTTTTGATCGCAACACAAGCGGTCGTCATCAGGAAAAGGGGGGTTAGCTTCTAAAGGCAACTGTTTATAAAGGTTTGAAATGGGCGTAGCCCAAATGTCAGCAGCCAATGAGAATGTAAGTGGTGGGCAGCGACTGCGGCGGTGGTGGGTTTTCCACCAATCAGCATGTTACATTAACATGCTAATTTTTACCTGGCAGCCCTTTGATTGGTGGGAAACCCACCACCGCCGCAGTTGCTGCCCATCACTTACATTAACATTGGCTGCTGACATTTGGGCTACGCCCACTTCAAACCTTTATAAACAGTTGTCTTTAGAAGCTAACCCCCCTTTTCCTGAAGACGACCGCTTGTGTTGCGATCGAAACGTCATGGTTTTTTTGTTATTTTCTCATTTTCTTTGAACCTATGTGACTTCTTCGATTGTGTTTGCTGACACGCCAGATAATGTTTATTGCAGGGGTCGGCAACCTGCGGCTCCCGAGCCGCACGAGGCTTTTTAATGACTGCTTCATGACATTATTTATTAAGCACCATCTCGTATTCACGTACATTGCGGCTCTTGAAATATCGATTTTTTTTCTTCACGGAATTTTAAAAAAAACGACTCTTGTTATTTTGGTTGTCGATTCCTGGATTCGCCTGTCTGCGGGGCCAAGTGACATTTTGTGACTGGTTCGAACGTTAAATCACGCAGCGTCGTGGGGGTTATTTCACCGTACTGCACCATACTGGTAGGTGCAGATTTGAGAAGGGGTGGGGATGGGCATGACTGGTTAAGATTCGCTTGCCCACTGGTGTTAGCTATGGACGGAAATTGAACTAGTGTCACTGGGTTTGGAGCACGATGCGCGAACCGCTGCACCACTACTCCACTGCACTTTTGTATTTGTCATTGCATAATAGACCAAAGGTACAGATTAAATTAGTAACACAGTGCAGTGGTCTTGAAAATGAGGTGCGCCTGTTCTCTTGTGTTCTCTCTAATCATCCTGCCCCCCCCCCCTCCCCCACCTCGGATCCCAGGGAGGAGTTTGTGGGAGGTTGCCGAGCACTGCGTGCCGACAACACCAAAGCCATACAGACTCGCTTTCCCGAGCTCATGTCCGAGGTGCAGACGGAGGAGAACTTCAAGGAGCTCTACCGCTTCACCTTCAACTTTGGCTTGGATGCCGAGGAGGGTAATGACTGCACAACGCGAAATTTGAAACTTTGCAGTTGGGCAGTGCCGCGTCCTCCCGTGTCAGAATGGTCCTGGCAGGTGATGGCACAGAACTTCTGCTGAAGTCACTTTATTAGAACTCTGTATCCGCACTTAGAACGCACCTCTGAATGTACAACCTAAAGCACCACATTCGAGGGCTATACAGCACAATCCCAAAGACGTATGCATTTGTATCCCATTGGCTTGGTTTGTGCATGCCATGCAAGTGCAGTGGCTAACGAGCTTTTCTGCATGGTTGATGCGTTCCAGGACAGCGCGCGCTGCCATGTGAGATGGCGATCGCGCTGTGGCGGCTGGTGTTCTCCCAGGATCCACCTCACATCCTGAGCCGCTGGCTCGAGTTTCTGTTGGAGAACCCAGCAGGCATTCGTGGAGTGTCGCGCGACACGTGGAACATGTTCCTCAACCTGGCGCAGACCGTCGGCTCAGACCTGAGCTCCTACAGCGAGGACGAGGCGTGGCCCAGCCTCTTCGACGCCTTTGTCGAGTGGGAGCTGGAGAGGAGGCGGCGGGGAGAGAGCGGTGGCGGGACCTTGCCCGGCGGGCTTGACGATGGGGGTGGCGATGACGAAGGCGATGACGAAAAGCGGGAGGATTGTGTCGTGGGCGGGAAAGCCGACCCCTCAGGCATTGGCCTGCAGCAGGGATGAGCTGCATCAGGGAAGGTCTGTTATTCCATTGGTTGTCCTCGATTGCGGAAATTACACGCGGAGGAGGGGAAGTTAAAAACTACCATCCCTTTACACAAACGTGGCGCTGTCGCACAGGTTACACTACACACGGTGGGTTTTCAGTAGCGACGGTACCATCGGGGCATGGCGTAAGCCGCCCCTTCGGCACCGCCGGGTTCCCCCGTGTGTCCTTGCACTGCCCATGTGGCCACGATGTCCGAATTCCCGGGTAGACGCCCTTCACCGCAGAAGCGCAGACGTGTCTCGTCCCTGTGCTCACAAACGCAGTTCCACCACTTGGTGCTAAGTGATCAATTTGGACAAAGGCATGAGGATAATACAAACGAAATTGTCCTTTGTAATTCTTTAAGGAGACGTCCGGCTTGCAATGGCAGCCGCAGACCGCATGTCTGTATAAGTAACAAACATTCTGCGAAGAACTGTTTGATTTTGATTTTTACTGCGTAGCGAGACGATATTGCATCGTTGTTCATCTTTCTTGAAACCTCAAAATACCAAAAGTGGCCATCGGGAACTAAAAGTGCTCGCCGAAAAGGAATCTGTCCACAAATCACTTGCGTTTGATGGAATTTGAACGCAGTAAAGTGACATGCAGTTGATTGCAATTTCCCCTTTCCTTTTAAAAAAAAAACACACTTGGCTTCTGGCATTCTTGCCGAGGCCACGCACTAGAGTGGGGGACATTTTTACCCACAGGTGATTCTCTCTCACTGCAAATGTGAAGTTGCACATATGCCTTCGAAGGTATGCAGGTTGACAGCTTTTGTTTTTCGTAGCATAAATGTACATTGGCTGGATGTTGATAGTGCACATCGGAGGAGTGTTTGTGCTTCGCAGTTGGCGCATGGTGGCGAGTGTTAAGGGTTTTTGACCGTTTTTTTGCTGGATTTCGTTGTGCACGTCACGAGTGGTGATCTGGGCTTGCAGAGTGTGGCTGGGGCTGGGTGCCGAATCGGCCACACAGTTTACGATTTTTATGTACCAGGTGCGTTTCTAAACCTGAATGCACATGTTTTGTATGCGAGACTTTTGCTGTTGGTGGCGGCGGATGCTGCCGTGTTAAACTTGAACTTTGTATTGACGTTAAGCATTCTTTTTTTTGTGTGTGTCGCTTAACGTCGCTGTTGGCTTGAGTAGAATTCATGTCCAAAATTCAGTTCGAGAATTAAAACAAGAAAAACAAACCTTTGGTAAAAGTCCAGCCGCACTGTTCTTTCATAGGTTTTTGTATTTATATTTATTTTTTAATATATTTCACGTTGTTTGGAATTCTGGTTGACCTAACGAGTCCATTGTCTTTCTTGCCTCTGCAAAAAAATCATCAGCACATTTGTACTTTCCCTACTTGTAGCTCTGAGGCTTCCACAGAGGCAGGTTTGAGGTCAGGTTAAAATTCCTCATGCGACTTTGTTAAGCGATTTTTTTGTTGTTGTTGACAACGTTATAGTGGGGTCGGCAATGTCCTCAGTTGGTCTCCCTCTGACTTGATGTTCAGTGCTTCTCATGAACATCCGATTGCAGAATCAACAAACTTACTGCAAAAGTAATTGAGTACCACTCACAAATTTGCCCAGTTCTCTCCCAGATGCTGCTAGCTCCTCACTGACCCTGCCTTTGTCCAGCCTTTTCCCTCTTACTCTCCTTTTATTTTTTAAGCAATACTTTGTGTACTGTGGGCCCTTTCTTTTATTGCCTGTCCAGTGACCTCAGCGGTTCATGCCCAGTTGTGTTTTTTTGGCTTCTGTTCCATCGTGCGTCACGGACGAGATGGGGGCATGATATGAAGGGATTGCGCAGTTTTTTTGTACAGATGATATTTTGTTGCCAAGGAAGATCACTTTATACCATTAAATGTTTGTATTTTATATACCTGTTTCTCGTGTGAATTCTTTCATCGTTCCAAATGTGTTTTTGGTGGTATTTGCCACAGGGGTGCCCAGCTCCATGCTGAGACATTATTTTTCCACTTTGTCTTATTCACATTTTATCCCACGTGTGCTGCCATTTTCATGTCAGTGAGTCCATTCGAATCTCTGATGAGTGCATCGCACCAAATTAGAGGGCCGTTGGACCTATCTCTGAGATCAATTCGAGTGAATTCTGGTCCATGACGTAGGGGGGGCAGCACTTTCTCACCTGCCCTGCCATCGGGAATAGGCTTCATTGCACGACCATAAACACAGAAATTATTACAGCTGGAATGTAATAGTCAGTTGGTGACGACCTATCTCCGCCTGAGAACCCTTTTAAATCGCAGGTAGCTGTCTGGATGTGAAATCGTGATTTCAGTGGCGCCAGCTCCATTGCGGTGACCTCTTGCGACGAGTAAAGGGATTTTAACATCGTTGAACACGGTAAATCGCAGGGTTCATGTTCCAGACATGGTCTTAAGAAATCATTTGAGTCCGTAACGGTGGATATTGTTTTATTTAGGTTCTGTATTGCACAGAACCAACATTCAAATGCTTTTGTAAAAAAAAACAATGTCACTGCATAATGTTCGGGGTTCTGGTGTGCAGCTCTCCAATGTGTTTTTGGGTTGAACAGCAGGCGGTAAAACCCAAAAACACTTCGCGTATGTATGTTGAACTTCTTTCACACCGTACATAGCCAACCATGATAACCGCAGGTGCGGGGGAAGGCCAACAAACTAAAACACAAAAAGCAATTCTAAAGAAATGCGTTTTCAATCGAGATTAAAAGTGCATAGCTCCAGTGGCTTCCTGATATCGGAAGGAAGAGCGTTACGGACGGCCGCAGAAGCACATCTCTGCTACGTTACACCTGCACAGAATTGGCGGCACGGTTAAATACAGTGGGGGTTAAAATTGCAAGGGTTAAATCTTAGATTGTCGAGGCTCGGCCCGCTTCGTGCCGCCACGCGGGCTGTCACGAGCAGTCCCGGCACAGCGCTACCTGGCCCCGTCGGAAGTCACGGCAGGGGCACACCCGGGTCTCGCCGGCGCCGGCGCAGCTGAAGAGGAGCGTCTCCTCCTGGAGCAGGCAGTGGCTCCCGTTGTGGGTGAATGCGGGCACCAGGTGGCTCGCCCGCCTCTCCACCGCGCCGCACCGCAGGCCCAACCTGTGTGCACGCGCGTCGCAGTGGCATGCTGTTGCCGTCGCGAGTTGCCACGTGCTGAGCATCGCGGGTGGTGTAACGGTGAGAGCGCTGCGTTCGCAACGCAGAGGTCTGCCGGTTCCATTTGATCGCCCGCTGCGGCAGTTGAAGCAATCGGCAAGTTTTTATTGTTGAATAATTGGACGCAAGCGCCTTTTGGCGATCGGCAGGTATGGTGGGGTAAAGTGCAGGCAGCGCTCACCGCTTGCATGACGTCTAGCTTGGGGGAAGGGTAGGCCAAATACCCTCCAGAGAGCGCTCGCTGTATTGGAGGCCCTTCTGCCAGCAGTGGCGTAACCAAGCACTTGCAGGCCTGCATACCTTACTCTCCTTCAACAGGAAGTGTTTTGAGGCGGTCTCCCACCTGGCAAAGGCATCCTGCGTGTTGACAAGGGGGAAGAAGGACGGCTCGCAAACGAGGCCACGCGCCCAGCACGCGTCCTGGCACGAGACGCCGCCCTCCGACGCCACCGCTTGCATCGCGCTGCTGGGAGGCCATCTCTGTGGCCCCGGCGAGCAGAAGTCCTTCACGAACAAACGATGATAGCTGGACATGTCGCGGCTTGAGCCCCGGTGATTCAAACTAACTTATTCCATTAGGTAAATTTTAATGTAGCTGTGTGCGTCTGTGTGTTTTTTTTCTGTTTGTGCAGTCATTTGCGGCAAGCACTTTGTAAGTGAGCAGAGACCATCAACTCGCTCCACGAGAACCCCGTTTAATAACCACGGGAGGTTGAAACCTGGATTGGAAACCAGAGTTCAGAGATACAGAGCTTGTGCCATCTCAGTGTTTCTGACCTCTGACTTCCGTGCCACCTTCTTTGTGAGCAGGTGAGCTCACGAGCACGTGATTTAGTGGGCAGGTTAATGAGTGAGCGAGCGATCGCCCAAGTGAGCGAGTACGAGCGAGTGAGCAAGCAGTCCCACCTGGTGAGTGAGGTAAGCGTACACCCTCTCGAGCATCCCTTGGGCTGTGAACTCGTACGGGAGCAGCGGCTCCACGGCCGGCAACGATTTGATGGCGATCACAGCCGCCTCCACCTCCGACAGATTGCCCACGTCCACCGTCCACACGTGTGGCCTACCGATGAAGCGCTCCGCGTACGGGTGCTGCGACGTCACCTGCGCCAGCGTGCCCAGCACACCACATCAGGTATACGAGAAATAAAAACATTTCCGGTCAATCGGTGACCCGGAGAATATTCGACGAGGAGATGAACCCTGCAAACAGTCCACAGACCTACGCAGAACCCACAGGCTGTGAATAGACCTGCACAGAGACTCAGAATGACATGGGGAGAACCTATGGACTGGCATTGATTCTCGGACTCATAAACCAGTCATCATTTTTTCCACCTAACTCATCGAGGCCACAATGGCTCCACGAGGAACGATGCGACAGAGCGCAGTGGACTAGCTATCGAGTGTGCAGGCGGTGCAACCGCACCGGAACCCAACGGGGCTGGATTGGGCGCTCGCTGGTGGCTATTGCCCCGGGGCCAACAGCGACCACGCTACGCCACCGTACGGGAGAAGAAGTCTCGCCTCGCGACGATGGCTGCGCCGCAAGCCTCCGAGCCGCCTCACTCACGAGGCGAGACGTGGGCTTGCCCTTGAAGAAGGCGGTGCTGTGGGATGAGTGCGGCGGGTCGAAGCGCGGCATCAAGAAGACGCAACCGCTGGCGATGGCCTCCAGCGGCGCCGGACCCTCGTACGGGAAGCCCAGCCCCACAAACATCTGCGGCCATCATCGATCACACGGTGGGGGGGGGGATGAGGCGGGGGGGGGGGGTTTTGTAGCCTAAGTTACATCGTTAAAGCGACTACATTTCTGGGAGGCTCAACCGGGGCACGTGCTGTACCTGGCAGCCCCCTTCTCTCCGTCAGCCCCGCCCACTATTGCATAGCCGTGCCCACTCAACCGCTAGAATTTCCTGACCTCATGCTCAACAATTGTGGGTCAAAGGGCAGGGCTACCTGAGCAGTGGGCGGGGCTGGCAGAGGAATTGGCAGGGCTACCTGATTAGCAGGTGGGGGTCTATGAGAAGTAGGTGGGGCCAATGTCAGAACAAGGAGGCCGCCACTCACTGATTTGGGTGGTGTATGCGGTTGAGTGGCTTTAGCTATCGAAAAGTGGACGCAGGTCTGCCTGATGTGACAGCTGCCAGCTCATCCTGACGTCACGCGATTTTGGACAATTTTTGACCCCCCCCCCCCCCATCGTCACACGGCGTCACGAAAAGTCAGGCCCCCCCTCAAATATGACGTACAAAAGCTCTGCCCCCCCAAAAAATATAAAACATGCTTCAAATTGCTTTAAACTATTGTCATTGTAGTGCGTATTTAATATGCCGCTGCACTCTGATGTTGTAGGAGAAAAGATTTATTAAAAAGTCTATTTAATTAAGTAGAACGTGTTGTCTATATTTATTTAAAGTTGCGCATTTTGATATGACGTCACATTTCTCAACCCCCCCCCCCCCCCTTGTCACACATCGTCACAAATGTCTGACCCCCCCCCCCCAGGTGCGTGACGTCATTTATGGATGGCCCCCTCCCAGAAGTTTGGTAACTTCAGATCCATACCCCCTGGCGACCTGCACCCGTGTGGTATTGCAACAAGTACCTTGGCCCTGCGGAGGAGGAGCTGGATGTCACGCTGGGAGAGGAGGCCATGGTTATGCACAAACTTCGGTAATGATGTCAGGCTCCCCCCCACCGTGCCGTGCACGGCCATGTGACGAGAGATCACCTTCAGATATTGCTCCTTTCCCTGTGCCAGAAAAGCACACGTGATCATCGTTATAACATGACGAGAACATTTGAGTCACGATGTAGCTGTCCGATGTGTTTGTGGACTTTACCGGCCAGGTGGCTCAGCGGTAGAGCGAGCGGCTCGCAATCACAAGGGTCGTGAGTTCAATTCCTCGTGGGGTGCTGATTCAAACCCATCATCCCTTCAGGGTACGTAAAATAGGTACCACTTTGTGTCCGATGGAGAGACTCGTCCCTGCCATAGGATGATGGAATTTCTACCACTGGCTCATAGCTTTAAGCTGCAGATGAGCACTGCCTCAATTCTCAGGATGTCTGACGTCCTCCACGTGCTGGGGGCTTTTTGAGTGGTGATGTGGCCAAGAGGGTAGCACGTTCACCACTTGTTACGGAGGTTAACGGTTTGAATCCAGTGGGCACCCTGGTAATTTAACACGTAGACGAATCATCAAATAATACATTATTTGAATGCATTCCTACAAAGGGCAGCGTACTTCAATAGGGATTACCGTTGGTAGGGCTATTTTAATAAACACAATAGACAGGAAGGACAAGTTCAAAGAGCTCGCATAATGCACATACATAATGTACGTTGACTCGGTAATCCCCCCCCCACCCATCATTGTGCAAGAGTGCAGAAGCGTGGTCACCACATCTACGCCTCTAGACAATGAACGAAACAGGTGGACTTCTCCACAAATCTGACTGTCGCCTGATGAAGCTAGTTGTAATTACTGGCGAAACGTCGTACTCAGATTGTAAATGTTGTGGCTTTGCTCTCCAACACACCGGTGTGCTGTTCTAGTGACGAATTGGCCACGTTCTGTTTACGTGACAACCCTTACTGGTTGGCTGTGTCGGGTGGTGGCGGGTTTTAATGACACATTTATATATTTACGCGATCTAACCCAAAATACCTCTATTGTGGACCCTGGTAAATATTACTGCCGATGTAACAACTATAATACTACTACTACTACACACCCTCTGCTTCAAAGTGGGCGTTAAAGATCCTGGGACATCATTTGCAAGATTAGGCCATTGTGTGCCGGTGTCACGGGTTAAAATTACCCGCAAACCACTCAATTGGGATTACAGTAAACGCAGCAGAAATAATCGCCCCCTCTTGGCAAACGAGACTATGCCGGTCTCTTGTGTTCACACCTGGTTACATGAAACAAACTTTATACTTTTTTTGTGAACACGTCGCGTGTAGGGATGGTGTCTGGTAATTCAGGATAATGACGAAGAAGCAGCCAAAGGAGAGAACACGACTGAAAAGACGTGAATGTAAATCTGTTTGCCCTGTGTGAGTCAATGGGTCCTATACGAGACTGTGAATCCCATACAAGACTGAGCGGATTTTGTTATTTACGTGTCCTATTACAATGCATAGGTCTGTGCCCATTGGTTGGACAGGACGCCTGAGTTCAAACCGCAGTGTAGACAAAAACACTTTTAATGGTACAAAGCACCTTAACGATGGAGCATATTTGAAACAATTTCCCTGCAGGAGGTCAGCCTGCGTCACTCGATGTTGTGACGCAACGTTTCGCCCCTACTCAACTACCTTCCACATCTCATCCTTCTTGCCGTACACCATCGCCATGTGGTCGTCCTTGGGGATCGTGACCTTTTTCTTCTCGCTGACCACTTCGCTCACGAAGCCCAGGAACGAGTTGTCCGGAGTGTGCGCTGCCGATCCACAAACATCGTCACCACCACCGTTATTTAACCTCCACCGCTGGGGATTTGTGCCCACCACCTTCGTCTCCCTGGTGCTGATGTTTACACGCCGCACCAGCTGCTTATTGTTCAGCTCAGTTGGCCTAGGTGAGGCACAGGATCGGTTGGGATATCACTCAGCACTGATGTTAGCTGTGGCCAGGAAACAACTTGATTTCCGGTTCGATAGTGCTGTGCGCTAACAGCTGCGCCACTATAGAACATTTGTTTAATGCAGAAAAGTGCATAAACCAAGCAGGACTGCATGTATTTACTGTATCGTAAATCCCCGTTTAACGTGCGGTCACACTACGCGTTTTCACTTTAACGCGTTTTTTCATTTATGGAACGTTTTTCACTTAACGCGCACCGCACCCGCTGTAACACGAGCCTACCGCGTGGCGGACTACTCGCTATACCGCGTGACTAGTGCGTCATGGACTACTCGCTATAAGGCAAGTCTAGCATGTGAAGGACGACTCGCTATAACGTGAGTCTAGCGCTTGACGGACTACTTGCTGTAACGCGTGGCTAGCACGTGACGGACTACTCACTATAACGTGAGTCTAGCGCATGACGGACTACCTGCTATAACGTGGACACGTCTGACCAATGTCGGATATGGGAACATCTATAGAAAATTAACACTCACACGTTAGACAAATAGATTACTGGGGAAAAAAAAAACTTAAACACAAGCAATTGTACAGTACTTCAAATATCGTAATATGATGGTCGTGTTCTGCCGAGTCTTAAGGCCCCAGTTAACACATCAACCCTTCTTGCACCTTGCTGGCTCTAAATCGGTGCTCGCGAACAGCAATTGCCCCAGACTACACAGGAGATATTTTGTCCTTGTTTAGATAATATTCGTGATGTGTTCCTGATTTTAGGATGAATCTGAAAAAAATCCGTAAATTTAGCCTAGACTCTAAATTTTTGGACGATCGGAAAAGCAAAAAAGTTTGTTTCGTATTAAACCCAAAAGTATGACCTCGTGGCAAATGACGTCACGTGTCTTGCATCACTCCTTGCTTTTCCCGAGAAAACTGGTGTCACGTGGCATCAGTTGACGTCACTTTTGTTCACACGAATGCATGTTGAATTATGGCAAAATTTAAACGCGACGAAAACCTGACTAAAAGATTTTGGGTCTTGTCCTTGAAAACACGAAATGGCAAAAAGTGTTGAACCAGAAACTCATGCCCGAATGAAGTGTGTCGAGCGAGGACGTACGGAACATGGTCATGTACTGCTGGGGCTGCAGGTTCCAGTGGCCCCATTCGGACTTGAAGCCGTTCTTGGTGGCGTAGGCCTCGTGGTTGAAAGCCGGCTCAGTGCCGAACGTGTCCACCACGCGGTAGCGACACCTGCACCGCCACAGATGGACAACACAGAGTGATTAATACATGTTTTGAGTTTGTATTAAGTATGCCTAATAATGATTCTTTTTTTTAATTATCCATTTATAAACAGTGTTTAAAATTATCCCCTTTGTCAAGCCCTTGCTGAACAAATACTTCCACCCATGACATGTCGGTCATAGGGGTTGTTTGACCATACTTCACTACAATGGTCAGTGCGGGTTGGTGAAGTCGTGGAGTAGCATCCAGGACCACTTCAGATATCGCTCGCCACTCACGATATGCGTGGCTGGGTGTCGAACTCGGGTTTTGCTGGGTTCATAGCAGTGTGTCCCTCCACTCCAATCAGCATTACTAGTGTTTGCGTTTATTAATTATTAGTTAGTGCTATCTGTGAAATTAAGAATTAATCAGTGCTGTTAGTGATATAAATTATTACGTAGTGTTATGAATTACTAATGAGCGCTATTAGTGTTAGTAATTACTGTTATTTCTACTGCATTTGACTCACGCGTACTCCCGGAACGACAAGCCCATGCTCTTGCTCATTTGCTCGATGCCCAAGTAGTCGGTGAAGATGAGGTCAAAGGGCAAAGCCTTCTCGATGGGGCAGGCACCGTTGCCTGGGGGCACGCCGAGCAACCTGGAGGGCACAGAATGGGTCCTAGTTTACTCAGGCTCTTTTTGGGGCTCAAGGAGATTATGATAAGGCTACCAAATTCATGGGGGGGCTCAACCTGGGCACGTGAGTGTGACTGACAGCTCCTCCCTCTGTCAGGCCGCCCGCTTTGCATAACGACACCCACTCAACCACGAGCCCCACCCATTCACCACGCATCGAGGGTGAATGTCCCTCTCATCGTCACTGATTCTGCGTCTGCCCATCCACTTGTCTGGAAGCCCTGCCTACCGCTCAGATAGCCACACCCACCGGAACCAGTAACTCCGCCCACTGCTCCGGTACCCCCACCTTCTGCTCAGGTAGCTCCGCCAACTTTAAAAACGAAAAAAATATTTTAGCAGGTAAGGCCCACTGAGCCATAACAGCTCTTTTTTTAGAGGCGTCCTGGTCAGTGAGTGCGGTAAGGTAAATGGCTGGGGAGACACTGGCTAGTGTCAGAGCCAGATTCACAGACTGAGGGGGGCGTGTTAGACACGTCCCCCTCAGTGAGGCAGATGTGACAGCTGCCTCCCCTGGTGCTTTTTCATTGCAGTTCCATGACGAGACCAGCGAGCCTAAATATCTCTATACAGGTACGTGAAATAAGTTACCTGGAGTATGGAAGGCGAGGACATGAAATGAAGGGGTCTACAAACATGGCATTGGTGACATACTGAGATAGTAACAGGCACGTCCTTATTGCCCGCGCTCCATCCAGTTACTGAGGGGTTGCGCAATCAGAGGGGAGGCTGAGCTCGTCGCTGCCTCACCTCGTCTCTTCTTGTATTTGCAGCGGAGCTCCGCAAATTTGGCGATTTTGACTATAAAATGATTGGAATCGTACAGAAATGACATTTGTAACACAGATCAGTGGAAAAATATTAATGTTTATTTAATTTTATTATTCTTTTTTTACTTTTCGTAACAGCTATTTTTATTGGAGTATGACAGGTGAGGCTCTGCCTTCCCTGACCGCACATCCCTGGTAGATACAATAGAGTCAGTAGTATCTACACGCCTACACACCCTACACGCAATAGAGTGATTAGTATCTACATACCTACACACCCTACATATAATAGAGTCAGTAGTATCTACACGCCTCCACACCCTACACACAATAGAGTCAGTAGTATTCACATGCCTACACACCCTACACACAATAGAGTCAGTAGTATCTACATGCCTACACACCCTACACACAATAGAGTGATTAGTATCTACATACCTACACACCCTACACACAATAGAGTCAGTAGTATCTACATGCCTACACACCCTATATACAATAGAGTCAGTAGTATTCACATGCCTACACACCCTACACACAATAGAGTCTGTAGTATCTACATGCCTACACACCATAAACACAATAGAGTCAGTAGTATCTACATGACTACACACAATAGAGTCAGTAGTATCTACATACCTACACACCCTACACACAATAGAGTCAGTAGTATCTACATACCTACACACCCTACACACAATAGTTAGTAGTATCTACATGTCTACACACCGTACACACAATAGAGTCAGTAGTATCTACATACCTACACACCCCACACACAATACAGTCAGTAGTATCTACATGCCTACACACCTTACATACAATAGAGTCAGTAGTATCTACATGCCTACACACCCTACACACAATAGTCAGTAGTATCTACATGCCTACACACGCTACACACAATAGAGTCAGTAGTATCTACATGCCTACACACCCTACACACAATAGAGTCAGTAGTATCTACATGCCTACACACCCTACACACAATAGAGTCAGTAGTATTCACATGCCTACACACCCTACACACAATAGAGTCAGTAGTATCTACATGCCTACACACCCTACACACAATACAGTCAGTAGTATCTACACACCCTACACACAATAGAGTCAGTAGTATCTACATGTCTACACACCGTACACACAATAGAGTCAGTAGTATCTACATACCTACACACCCTACACACAATAGAGTCAGTAGTATCTACATGACTACACACAATAGAGTCAGTAGTATCTACATACCTACACACCCTACACACAATAGAGTCAGTAGTATCTACATACCTACACACCCTACACACAATAGTTAGTAGTATCTACATGTCTACACACCGTACACACAATAGAGTCAGTAGTATCTACATACCTACACACCCCACACACAATACAGTCAGTAGTATCTACATGCCTACACACCTTACATACAATAGAGTCAGTAGTATCTACATGCCTACACACCCTACACACAATAGTCAGTAGTATCTACATGCCTACACACGCTACACACAATAGAGTCAGTAGTATCTACATGCCTACACACCCTACACACAATAGAGTCAGTAGTATCTACATGCCTACACACCCTACACACAATAGAGTCAGTAGTATTCACATGCCTACACACCCTACACACAATAGAGTCAGTAGTATCTACATGCCTACACACCCTACACACAATACAGTCAGTAGTATCTACACACCCTACACACAATAGAGTCAGTAGTATCTACATGTCTACACACCGTACACACAATAGAGTCAGTAGTATCTACATACCTACACACCCTACACACAATAGAGTCAGTAGTATCTACATACCTACACACCCTACACACAATAGAGTCAGTAGTATCTACATGTCTACACACCGTACACACAATAGAGTCAGTAGTATCTACATACCTACACACCGTACACACAATAGAGTCAGTAGTATCTACACACCTACACACCGTACACACAATAGAGTCAGTAGTATCTACATACCTACACACCGTACACACAATAGAGTCAGTAGTATCTACACACCTACACACCGTACACACAATAGACGAGACCAGCGAGCCTAAATATCTCTATACACGTACGTGAAATAAGTTACCTGGAGTATGGAAGGCGAGGACATGAAATGAAGGGGTCTACAAACATGGCATTGGTGACATACAGAGATAGTAACAGGCACGCGCTTATTGCCCGCGCTCCATCCAGTTACTGAGGGGTTGCGCAATCAGAGGGGAGGCTGAGCTCGTCGCTGCCTCACCTCGTCTCTTCTTGTATTTGCAGCGGAGCTCCGCAAATTTGGCGATTTTGACTATAAAAATGATTGGAATCGTACAGAAATGACATTTGTAACACAGATCAGTGGAAAAATATTAAAGTTTATTTAATTTTATTATTCTTTTTTTTTACTTTTCGTAACAGCTATTTTTATTGGAGTATGACAGGTGAGGCTCTGCCTCCCCTGACCGCACATCCCTGGTAGATACAATAGAGTCAGTAGTATCTACACGCCTACACACCCTACACACAATAGAGTGATTAGTATCTACATACCTACACACCCTACATATAATAGAGTCAGTAGTATCGACATGCCTCCACACCCTACACACAATAGAGTCAGTAGTATCTACATGCCTACACACCCTATATACAATAGAGTCAGTAGTATCTACATGCCTACACACCCTACACACAATAGAGTCAGTAGTATCTACATTCCTACACACCCTACACACAATAGAGTGATTAGTATCTACATACCTACACCCCTACATATAGTAGAGTCAGTAGTATCTACACACCTACACACCCTACACACAATAGAGTCAGTAGTATCTACATGCCTACACACCCTATATACAATAGAGTCAGTAGTATTCACATGCGTACACACCCTACACACAATAGAGTCTGTAGTATCTACATGCCTACACACCCTACACACGATAGAGTCAGTAGTATCTACATGACTACACACAATAGAGTCAGTAGTATCTACATACCTACACACCCTACACACAATAGAGTCAGTAGTATCTACATACCTACACACCCTACACACAATAGTTAGTAGTATCTACATGTCTACACACCGTACACACAATAGAGTCAGTAGTATCTACATACCTACACACCCCACACACAATACAGTCAGTAGTATCTACATGCCTACACACCCTACACACAATAGAGTCAGTAGTATCTATATGCCTACACACCCTACACACAATAGTCAGTAGTATCTACATGCCTACACACGCTACACACAATAGTCAGTAGTATCTACATGCCTACACACCCTACACACAATAGAGTCAGTAGTATCTACATGCCTACACACCCTACACACAATACAGTCAGTAGTATCTACACACCTACACACCCTACACACAACAGAGTCAGTAGTATCTACATGTCTACACACCGTACACACAATAGAGTCAGTAGTATCTACATACCTACACACCCTACACACAATAGAGTCAGTAGTATCTACATACCTACACACCCTACACACAATAGAGTCAGTAGTATCTACATGTCTACACACCGTACACACAATAGAGTCAGTAGTATCTACATACCTAAACACCGTACACACAATAGAGTCAGTAGTATCTACACACCTACACACCGTACACACAATAGAGTCAGTAGTATCTACATAACTACACACCGTACACACAATAGAGTCAGTAGTATCTACACACCTACACACCGTACACACAATAGAGTCAGTAGTATCTACACGACTACACACCCTACACACAATAGAGTCAGTAGTATCTACACGACTACACACCCTACACACAATAGAGTGAGTAGTATCTACATGCCTACACACCCTACACACAATAGAGTCAGTAGTATCTACATGACTACACACCCTACACACAATAGAGTCAGTAGTATCTACATGCCTACACACCCTACACACAATAGAGTCAGTAGTATCTACACACCTACACACCGTACACACAATAGAGTCAGTAGTATCTACATACCTACACACCCTACACACAATAGAGTCAGTAGTATCTACATGCCTACACACCCTACACACAATAGAGTCAGTAGTATCTACATACCTACACACCCTACACACAATAGAGTCAGTAGTATCTACACATCTACACACCCTACACACTAGAGTCAGTAGTATCTACATGTCTACACACCCTACACACAATAGAGTCAGTAGTATCTACACACCTACACACCCTACACACAATAGAGTCAGTAGCATCTACATACCTACACGCCTACACACCCTACACACAATAGAGTCAGTAGTATCTGCACACCTACACACCCTACACACAATAGAGTCAGTAGTATCTACATACCTACACACCCTACACACACTACACACAATAGAGTCAGTAGTATCTACATGCCTACACACCCTACACACAATAGTTAGTAGTATCTGCACACCTACACACCCTACACACAATACAGTCAGTAGTATCTACATGACTACACACCCTACACACAATAGAGTCAGTAGTATCTACATACCTACAGACCCTACACACAATAGAGTCAGTAGTATCTGCACACCTACACACCCTACACACAATAGAGTCAGTAGTATCTACACACCTACACACCCTACACACAATAGAGTCAGTAGTATCTACATGCCTACACACCCTACACACAATAGAGTCAGTAGTATCTACATGCCTACACACCCTACACACAATAGAGTCAGTACTATTTACACACCCTACACACAATAGTCAGTAGTATCTACATACCTATACACCCTACATACAATAGAGTCAGTACTATCTACACACCTACACACCCTACACACAATAGTCAGTAGTATCTACATGCCTACACACCCTACACACAATAGAGTCAGTACTATCTACACACCTACACACCCTACACACAATAGTCAGTAGTATCTACATGCCTACACACCCTACACACAATAGTTAGTAGTATCTACATGCCTACACACCCTACACACAATAGAGTCAGTAGTATCTACATGACTACACACAATAGAGTCAGTAGTATCTACACGCCTACACACCCTACACACAATAGAGTCAGTAGTATCTACACGCCTACACACCCTACACACAATAGAGTCAGTAGTATCTGCACACATGGTGGGAGGACATCAGTGGGGACGACGAGCGAGGCAGGCCGCCGAAATTCTGGCTTCGCGCCTCGCGTTGTTGAAAGCCCTCGTTGTTAACTATTAAATAAAGGTCTCACCCAGTGCCGGATTCTCCCAGTAGCTAAAGTAGCTACATGTGATGCTACGGGCCCCGCACTTTCAAGGGCCCCGCGCTAAATGCTTTCCAGCTATCAATTCGGTTCAGTGATTCTGCACTTGCTCTATTACTGTAGTACTATACTGCCTTCAACTTTTATGAACGACTTGGTATTTAAGGTAGGCGATTTGTCGTATTATTTGGCCGCATAGCAAATGAAAAAATACAATTACTTTACTATGCAAGTAAAAAAATTGTGTTTTCATATTTACGTGTGTTTTTTTTTTCATTTAGGGCCCCGTTATGGCATATGCTACAGGCCCCGCACTAGCGTAATCCGCCACTGGTCTCACCTCCCCCCTTTCTACACCTCGTCGGAGGTCCTTTACACAACAACTCGCACAGTGTCAGCGCCTTGGCCAAGGAAAATGGGATCGATGAAAACTATCTGGCTTTGACTAGTTGAACACACGTAACAGGCTTTTACGACCGATATTATTCATATTAAAGGTTTTTGGGTTAGGTCGCGTGAGTATAAATGCGTCGTAATCCTCCACCACCCGACACAGCCAATTAGTAAGGGCTTTGTCACGTGAACAAAACGCCGATTAGTTACTACTTCAGCACACCGGTGTGTTGGAGAGAAAAATCTACAACATTTACAATTTGAGTACGACGTTTCGCTGGTTTTGACCACCCGAATGTGAAATTGTAGTTGTCGCTCTGCATCTACACCAGCCGTACGAAAGAAGAGGAACAGCAAGCGATGTACACCAACTGGTCCTGGCTTCTCCTAAGTCAACTCGGGAAAAATGTGGTCAGACGTGGGATGCTCGCCACACAGGGCTTACCTCCCAATGGGCGGCCTCGGAGGGGTTATTTGGGGGGGCCGAATTGAAGAGGGGATAGGGCCCCATTTAAATCCTTGCTTGGGGGTTCCATGCCAAACGTGCGCGCTGCGCAACCATTGTTTTTTTGCCCCCCCCCCCCTTCTGCGTCCGCGAGGGAGACAGGGTGAGAGGCCCCGGCGGTCACCTGTGCAGGTCGGGCAGCGTGGCGGTGATCGAGAGCGAGTGGCCGAGGGCGTGCAGGGCGGCCAGCGCGTCGGCCCACTGCACCAGCTCCCCGAGGGGACCGCCCTGACCCGTGCCCGAGTTGAACCACCGCCCGCTGTCCCCCGTCAGCAGGCCCAGGTGCACGAGGATCTGTTGAGGGGCGATCGATGGTGGGGGGGGGGGGGGGGGGGGGGAGATCAGAACGGCCTCCGAAACGTTTGTCAAGAAAGGTGGGTAAGATTGCGTGTTTATGAATCATGGTCCCCAATTGCCCAAGCGTAGCGAGTCCAAGCATAGCGAGTCAACCGATACTTGGGCATTTATCAGAGCTAGCCTCTTGGTGAGCATTCGTCCTTCTTCAGAGGATAAGTGTGATCTGGCACAGTGATGGAGCCCAAAGTAAATGTTGGCTTTACTCAGATTGTAAATGTTGTGACTTAGCTCTACAACACACCGGTGTGCTATACTAGGAACGAATCGGCATGCTCTGTTTACGTGACAAACCTTACTAATTGGCTGTGTCGGGTGGTGGCGGGTTTAACGACACATTTATATATTTACGCAATCTAACCCAAAAAAAACCTGTATTATGGTGCCCAAAGTGCAACCATAATGCACCACGGGTAACGATCAGTGCGTAAAAGCTAAAACAGCCACTACACGGGGATGGGTCCACACCTGCCGTACTGCATTCTCCTTTCACGCCCACGTGAAAGGAGATCGACAACGCACGTGTTTAATGTGCCGTTGTTCTTCCCCCGCAACCTCCGATTAGCACGGTTGGCTACGTACGGTGCGAAAGAAATCCAGCGCACACACACGCGCACACACGCACGCGTACGGTCCGCCAACGCTCGCGGGAGCGACCACCGCTCAGCAGCTGGGAAGGAATGCCTCTCTCTCTCTCCCCAAGCACTCCGCCATCTCCCACCGTCTTATGATCTCCTAACAATCCGTCCAGCTCCTGCACACGAGCTGATGCTCTTGGGGAGGGGGGTGGTCCTCTCGAGTTGAGCTTCCCCTCCTTTGGCTGCCAGTCAGTCGTTAGTCTCAACCACCGGCCCGCTACCCCACAACTGGGGACGATGCCTCTCTCGGGCTGCTTGGGCACCCCGCAAAACCTCGGCTACTTTTTCCCGCGCCTCGCGTGGCTTGAAGCGGAGCGGGCGCGCGTGCCTTCATGCGGGCACGCGAAGTCCCGTTCGTCCGAGCCGCGAGCTCGTGCGCCGCAGTCGACCACGTCCGCTCCGCCTGCTGCAGCCGCCGCTCCATGAAGCGCACCGCGTCCATGGCTCTGTACCGCTCCGTGAGCGCGAGCAGCGAACTCACGCTGCGTCGCATCGCCGCCTGCCGACGCCAACGACGCGAGGCAAAGCGTCCGCACGCACACGGTCAGCCTTGGGATGAGGACGACGAGGATGGAACAAAGAGGAGACAGGTGGGTGAGTGGGTGAGTGGATGGACAGAGAGCGGGGGCAGATGGACAGGAGATCGATAAAGACATTATCTTAAAACCGGAGAAGAGTATAAGCATGCATCTCTTTGACAGGGAACGTCGTTTTTACATTTCCTGTATTTAAAAAAAAATTCCCCAAATATATTCCGTTTATTTTCTAAATATTGTATTCTGAAGTCATAGTTTAAGCTCGTGCGATGTAGCTTCATCTGTGACGGCTACGATTTAGGGCGCCGCATCTAGCAGTGGATTGACCCTGACTGATGTTCGCAACCATGCCGATGGATGGACGAGAGCAGGTTGGAGCCCCTTTGGAAAGCTGAACTTCTCTGTTGAACTTCTTTCGCCCCAGACGTAGCCAAACGCGGTAATCGGAGGTGCAGTGGTGGTGAGAGCTGAGACAGAACCTCTGTGCCACTCGCTGGCGTGGGGAGAATCCCAGTTGTGTTGGGTCCTGGTTGACGACGAGGAGGGCAGAAGTGCTCCACCTGGCCCAGGTAGGAGATGATGGAGCACGTGGAGCCGTTCACTCCGTAGTGTGAGTAGCACGGATCTCTGGTCCACGTGTTCTGCAGGTACTGGTGGGCAATAACGACGACGATGATGATGGTACACATCGTGATGGTAATGACACACATCATCAACAACATTTAGCGTCACTTGGTAATACCATACAATATATAAACATGTTGTTATCATCAGCAATTCATCATCATCACCACCACCTATTCACATCATGGCATTCCGTGTCATAGCCTTAATCGTTAATTTTTCGTCAATTTTGCCATCGTCACAATAGTCACGATCATAAAATGTTTCACCTAACATCACGCGTTTGTTGATAACACTGCCCGAAACAGAAATGATGATTGTTCTTTTGTGCACCACTGCTAACGCAGCATCATATTTAAAATATCAATATATTTAATCATAGCATTTACTATCATAATTATTATCATCAAGTCATCCCCATTAGCATGATCAAAACCATAACTTCTTACCACCATAAGCATCCAATAAAGTTGTTTTTATCCAGCTATAATCATCATTATCATCGTCGTCATCATGTTGAGGATCATAACCATCGTTATTCCTCGTTATCATCATTATCATCATGACAGTAATCACCACGAGACCTGTAATCATCGTTGCCTTGACGATATTAATATTCATTTACTATCTTGATTTGAAGCTTTCGTGACTGCAGGAATCCATACTAATTGGTTCTTTCGGTAAAGTCATGTAGGTATTTTATTTTATTTATACCTACGTGACGTTTACCGAAAGAACCAGAGTATAGGCATCTACTGCACTAGTTTTTAAAGCCTTGCATCGGCTGGCACCACCATATATTCACGAGTCAATTCATCCGTACGTGCCCTCAAGGTCGTTAAGATCTGCAGACTCCGTCCTTCTGTGCGTTCCTCGATCCCGGCTACGTTCCTGGGGTGAGTGGGCAGCTCGCTACGCCACGGTGGTGGAATTTCCTCCCGTTGGAAATTCATTTATCCGACAATGTGGACACTTCTAAATGTCGTCTAAACCCACATCTTCTTAAGTAAGTTTATTCTATTTAGCTTCTCTGTCTCTCTTGGCCTTTCCTTATTCTTAGAAGGCGCCTTGAGACATTAGTGGAAGGAGCCTTACAAATAAATGTAAATGATTATTATATTTTGATTTAAAGCTTTCGTGACTGCAGGGATTCATATTCTTGGTTATTTCGGTAAAGTCACGTAGAAGGGAAACAATAAAATAATAAAAAATATAAAACAATGATTGTTTTATATTTGTATTATTTGATTATTATATAAGAATTATTATAATAATTTCAACGACATTCTACCGGCAAACATTTTCAACGCGGCCTTGTTTTTTAAAAAAAAAACACGATCACAAGCGTCATCAACGTTTTCTGAGCACCGTTTGCGACGTACGGCGCGAAAGAAGTTCACCATGCACGTGCACAGCGCATACGCGTTGATCCGTCCTGAGCCGTGTTTCACACCCTCCGCCCGCCGGCGTGACACCTGAAGCCCGTGGCGGGCGAAGCGAAGACGCGAGACGGACGCACCTTCACTTTATCGCTGCACAGCGGGAAGCCGGGGTCCCGTGGAACTTCGCAGTCCTGTGAAGCTACAGGACACATTGCGATTTTCATGTTTTGTGTTGTTGTTGTTGCTGTTGTTGTTTCACAATGAGCCAGGAGACCCAACTTATTATTTGTGTCGCAGAAAACTTTATTTGTCTTTCTTTCATGCAAAAAACAAAGCGGACCAATGCACTCAAACGTCTTCACTGTTCAGTTGCGTCTGGACTACGTATTGGTTTGCTTCGAGGGTTACTTGTCTGATCTTGCAACTGGGGGGGGGGGGGTCAGCTTAAGGCAGTGTCCTTCACACATTTTCAGAGAGGGGGGGGGGCACGTTCGCCGATGAGACATCATCAGTGTGAGGTTCCGTCACACATTTGACACCAATTGGGGGTTTGACAGCAGCACGGCAATGATGATGTTGGGATGTTTTCACATTTCTGTATTGTCGGGGGCCGCGCTAAAGGTCACAAGGAGACCTCCAGTGGCCCGTGGGCCTTATAATGAAGAGCACTGGCTTAAGGGGACGGGCATTCCCTCCCCTGTGCAGAGAGCTCTTTTACCAGGTCCTGTAATTATTTACGATTTGGGGGGGGGCGGGGTCAGGGAGGTGAATTTGACAGGGTGAGAGGGTTGCCTCTGAAGGGATGCCGGAGATTTTGGACGTCCACGTTCTTCCCTCCCAGTTTGTATCCGAGGTACTCCAAGTAGGTTTGCCCCAATCAGGATTCCAAATTTGCCGTGAGGTGACGTCATTTCTATTCAGAGCTCCCGCGGGTAAGCAGTGCACTGCCGTGTGTAGGAGAACGACTTCTTACATAAATGTGTAATGTCTAGTAGAGTCTATCTGCGGTGTGAGTGGACTAGTGGCCACGCGAGATAATGACAGGGGAGTCAGCCTGCAGTGCGAATGCACTCGTGGCCACGGGAGGTAAATGACAGGGGAGTCAGCTGTGAGTGCGAAGGGACCGGTGGCTACGGGAATGATCGAGAAGGGAGCGTGGTCAGGTGACGGAGGAGGACGGTGGAGTCTGCCGGTTTTCACAGATCAAGCAGGCTGGGACGCACAAGTGTAGCTTTAAGTGGCGTTTGTTTTTGGGTTTGGGCCATACCTTAAGTCTTTTATCGATTGTGATAAAATGTTACGATCTAGTTCGTGTTTTTACTTCAATGGCAACCAGTTTATTACATTCTTTCGTGACCACACTACTTTGTTTATTACAACTGTGCAGGGCTTTTTTTTCCACGGTTATGCTGTACAGCTCTCCAACGTGTTTTCAGGTCAAGCAGCGTGTTGTTCAGCGCCAAGTCCGACGTTTCACTCCGCGTTCTGGGAGCTTGGACAGAGGCCAGGGGATTCCTGAATTCTGAAGGATCTTCCGGTACGCGGAGCAGCACAATATCGGACAATGAGGAACAGCAGTGCTGAATTCAGTTCCCGAAGGAGCTCCCCAGCACATGGAGCAAAATGTCGGAAATCATGCTGAACAACACTTGGTACATCCTGAAAACGCATCCAAGAGCTCAACAGTTTTTTATTATTTGATCAACCCGGGGACTGTGTTCACGTTGTTATTTTGGTCCCGTTTGTTACAGCCGCGAATATCCATGTCACTGTTTTCAGCTTGAATGTTGCTACCCCTATTGTGTTGCCATCCAACCATCAATTCAGCTGCGGAGATCTCGTCTCTTCACAAAACCGTGGCCACGTGATCTGTCCGCACCAACCTCTTTATGTGCCGTTCCGGCCGTAATAGCTGCCCGCTAACAGAACTCGCCCCCAAGAGTCTATAAGGCGACACGAGGGTTATCTTTGTTCAGCGCGTGGTGTGGCTGTGTGGTCTCACCGCGAGGCACCTCTGCAGGCTGTTTCAGTGGCAGCTGAGATGCTAATTGGACCGGGGCCTCCGGCCGTTGATCTGGCTGACAGGGGCGGCACCTGGTGGCACAGAGATCGCATCAGCACCAGGGCTTTACATTGGGCCAGGTAAGCGCTGTGTGAGGGTTGCGTTCGGGTTTATCGCGTCTCAAAGGTGAAATTGCAAAAAAAACCTCAAAATGTCCCTCAACCCAAACGTCCTCGAAAGAAGGTCCAGGGCTGCAAACAACTCACACCCCCCCCCCCCCCCCCCCCCGCTGAACACCAGACGGGCTATGGTCACATCGTGGTTTTCTCGACATTGATCCTCACCTTACAATTTGGTCAAGATCTAATATGCAAAACAAACCGCAGTGCAAATGACACAAACTGTCGCAATTACAACGTCTCAGTTAATTCGTGTTGTTGTTGTTGTCTAGAACGACAGACCTATCCAGATAACTCCATTCCACGGACAAGGGTTAAGAGAAAGTAGGACACAACCGCGGTGCCGGATTCTCCTAGTAGCAAAAGTAGCTACCTTTGTAGTAGCTACGAGCCCCGCACTTTCAAGGGCCCCGCGCTAAATGCCTTCAAGCTATCAATTCCGGTTCAGTAATTCTGCACTTGCTCTATTACTATAGTACTATACCGCCTTCAACTTTTATGAACGACTGGGTGTTTATGGTTAGCGATTTATCGTATTATCTGGCTGTATAGCAAATTTTAAAATACAATTACTTTACTATGCAAGTTAAAAATTCGTCTTAAAGCTTTCGTGACTACAGGAATTAATGTTCTTTGGGTCTTTCGGTAAAGCCATGTAGATAGAAAAAATAATAACAACATATTCTCAGCAGCTCTCCCGCGATATTTGTCACCTGATGACGATTGCTTGTGTTGCGATCGAAACGTCGTGATATTGTTATTATTTTTTATTGTTTGTTCTATCTACGTGGCTTTATCGAAAGACCCAAAGAATATTGTAAAATGTGTGTTTTAATATTTACGTTTTTTTATACTTAGGGCCCCTTTATAACATGTGCTACAGGCCCCACACTAGTTTAATTCGGCACTGCACAACCGGTGTTTGTAGAGAACAACGCCGCGGAATGTGTAGGTATTTCCGTGGGTTCGAGGGATACGAAACAATGCAGGTCACGTAAACATCGACGTCAACGGCAGGAGAAAGTACTCGGCAGATTACAAACGTGATCAACACGGTCCTAATAGCTGTTGATGCACAGGTCCCAGACTCAAGGTGCTCGGCCAAGGAATGGGGAGTGTGAGCCTTAGCTCACGAGCCTCACAGTGTCGCAGACTCACGGACTCGACCAGGGTTGCAAGCTCGTGGGTGGAGGGGGGGGGGGCTGCCAAAGGTCTTGGGAACAAACCGAGCGGCAGGGTGGCACAGATCGCCGGGTTTGAATACGAAGCGAGCAGAGGTGCTGCGGTGTGCAAGGTTGCAAATCCGAGAGAGTTGCACTGGGGATAAGCTCGCAAGTGTCTCCTGCCCATGTGTAACTCTGTACCACTGACCTGGTCTCAGCCATCTCCCGTCACCGACACTGCAACATGCTGCTGAGATCTGTTCTCAGGGCATTTTTCAGTCACTGACACGGTAACGTTGTACCGAGATTTCGTCTTCACCATTTACAATCATGGCACTTTCGATTTAAAGCTTTCGTGACTGCAGGGATTCATATTCTTGGTTCTTTCGGTAAAGTCACGTAGAAGGGAAATAATAAAAATAAAACAATAAAATTCTGTGTTGCAATCGAAACGTCGTGAGAATTTAATAGTTTTATTTTTATTATTTCATTATTTCCCTTCTACGTGACTTTACCGAAAGAACCAAGAATAATCATGGCACTATTGTCCACTACCGAGAAGCATTTTCCAGCATTTGAACCCCTTCCTCCCCACCCTGCCCTCACCTGTCGAGCAATCCGTTGAGGTCGCGCAATGATTGTACGATGCTCTCCAGCCCTTCCAGCCTCTGCAGCTTCGCATCCATAGATGCCAAGAGGTGCTTCAGGCTGCTTATACTGGAGTCTATGCTGTCTAAACGATGAAGACACAAACAGGTAAAAACAGGCAGACGTACAATGAAGCCACACGCAGAAAGTCAAACACGCAGGTAAACGGACAAAGTACATAGCCACATATGCTTGCACATACGGGTTAAATGCACACACATACTTACAAAGACACACATC